TAAGGTGAAAGGAAGGAGGTGGGATTAAAAGACAGAAGAGAATGATTGAAAACATTAAGAAAATGTTTTGACTGAAAATATTGGTACATGGCAAAGCTCATTCAAACTCTGGTTTAGGTTATCAAGTTATTCTAAGGTCTAAAACTCTAAATGGTGTTCTCAGGCGCTACCATAACTGCCAGTTTACATAGGCTCCTGACAGTTGAAATGTCCCGTATGCAGGTCATATTAGAAGATACACTGTAGATATGAGACGTGTAGTCTAACTTGATGGCAAAAATAAATGCCCTATAAACCTTGAATAGGGAAGAAAATTCAAACAATTTCCATTATTATGAATTAATGGTATCCCCAGGCAAACAGTTTGAATCTGGAAGCACTATAAACCAAGTGTTACGGACCACATACTATGCCAGCTTGCTTTGATTGAGCCCTTGCTAGCTAGAAGCAGGGAGATGAAGGGAGGGAGGTCTGTTATGATCCATCCAATGCCTTGGGATGAGTCACACCAGTACCCATGACTCTCAGGGGAGGGGCATTACTACACCCCTAGGTCCAGTCTGGGTTACCCCCCTCCCCCAACAAGGTCATCCCAGGTCAAATCACCACTCATCTGCCACTGCCACTTTCTGTCTGTAAGGATACAGGAAATCCAGTGTTGATGAATGACATAACAGATTTTAACCAAAGGATGACTTGCATATTGATGGATTATGAATGGGGGTATCAACTTTTTCACAGAAATTCAACTTTGGGCAAGAGGTACTAATACTTTGCCAGTGATTCTCAAAATCATAACTCTGGAAATTCAGTTCAATTTGTAATTACATTGTAGATACATGTACTGTACATACAGCACAGGAGGACACCTGTATGCATTGTTGTTACTTATTTTGTTGGGAAGGGGGATGCTGCCATGAAATACCAACCAGGAATTATCATGATGCACTGTTATAAAACCATGAGCAATTCATGTGATACAAATGACTTTTATGTCTGTCTATTTGTTTTGTTTTGTGTGTACATGTACATGTACATGTATCTGTGATAAATACTCCACTCATCCATGTAACAGTTTTCTATACTTTGTATGTTCCTGTAAGTTGCTGTAAGAACATGATTGGATTATTATATAGGATAGGCATATTATAAACTTGCTCTGATAGGATTATTATCATATCAAGAAGTCACAAGACACGGTCTTGTAGGTCAACCTGGGTCGATTCCTTTAGATTTTCTCTCCGTCTAAGTCTAGCAACCTTGGCTCCAGGAATAAACTTTGATATGTTCCAGGAATTAGGCAGAGTGGGTTTGATGATGATTGTAGAAAATCTAGTTTCTGTTGACATCAGTCTAGTATGTAAGCCTGAAAGTTCAGCAAATGTTATCATATTTGTAATCTTCCTACAAGTAATACATTTTTTAGACACAATTCATTTTGATTTTGGTTACAGGCTTTCCATACACTCCATCCTGTGATATTTCAGGCTTGATATTCAAAAGGTTAAATAAATGAATTGCATACAAAGGTTTACTATGACATCCCTCCCTCCCTCTACTCTCCCCCCCCCCCCTCCCCTCTCTCTCTCTCTCTCTCTCTCTCTCTCTCTCCTTTTCTTTCTCTCTCTCTCTTTTTCTTTCTCTCTCTCTCTCTCTCTCTCTCTCTCTCTACCTACCCCTCTCTCTCTTTCTCTTTTTTTCTTCTTTTTTTTCTTCTCTGGCTCATATTACATTGTTATTGGGTATGATCAGATTTTGAGTATTCAATGATTTTACTCAGTTATACTGTTTATCCCTCGTCTTAAATAACGTTTTTTTCTTTTCCTGAAGTTTTGATGTATGGTTATCATGATCTTATCTAATATTCTTTTTTGACCAGCTATTATAAACATGCCATTTGTTTATCCATTTTTATAAATGTAGAACCTTTGAAGACAATTCAGCTTTTAACTGCACCCGTTTGACAGTTTGACTGTACATTTTGGACAATACATCACCATTAAAAAATAGGGAAGCTGAAAAAGTCACATGCAATGTAAATATGTCTATTGTCTTGTGATCTCAAATTCCAAGACTCTCTTTGAGGTCATCTCTTTGAAATCAATGCCCCTCTCCATCACAACCAAAGTCAACAAACCTACTGTTTGCTTTCGTAGAGTAAAAAAAAAATGATCGCCTGGACAGTTTGAGTTCCACTTGATCTTGGTCTGATACTCAAGGGCAGACTGGACAAATGTCAACAACACCACCGGACATACAGAGGGGGAGTGAAAAATAATTCAGGTTAATTGAGCGTGGTAACAAAGAAGTCATAAAAAACTTTGAAGTGGTCAGGCTACTGCATTTACACTGCAACAAAAGTCATTGATTTTCCTCACAAACACAGCAAAAAATCTAAATAGAAAAATCCACCTCTGGAGTGTGTGGTTTTTTTAAACACCTGCCGAAGTTTCACTGATTTTTGCATTGTAAAAGCAAACTTCGAGAAGATACTGATGTTAGCTCACGTGACTCTCCTTGCTTCCATGGTAGTGCTAACGCATACATCGCACTGATGAGTGGCTAATTCGCACTATTCACCCGAAAAAAGTGTAAATGGTTGTCCAAAAAATCAACGATGTGTAAATGGACCGTTTTTGGGTTTTTAGGCACTCCATGGGTGTTATGGTGGTTTGAAGAAAAACAGGAAGTCCAAGATAGATGCTGTTTCATTTCTTATTTCAGGATGCAATATTTGGCAATTTTAAATGAAACAATAGCCCATTTTGGTGACGATAGTGAACTTGGTTGATCATTGTAGTGGTGTACAGAGGAAGCCACGAGGATATGATATAGCACAACTGTTTTAGCAGCTTCATTGTATGTATAGGCTAACAAACGGATTGCAATGTTTGGGTTTGATTAGAAGGATACTGTAGAAATGATATTTATAGCGACAAGTGATGATTTTGAAACCAAAAATAACAGACATTTCACTATTACTGTGATTTGCAAAAATTCAATTAATTTACGGCATGAAACTTATGCAGATCTGAACCAGTAGTGAAATTTGTGAGGATTATACACTGGTTTCATTGTAGGTGTAAATATACAGAATGGGTCTACAATGAACAGTTTAGTATCGTTTGTGGATGGAACAATACTGAGTACTAATTATTTCTAGAATGAATTCTTAGTAAATGTAACCCTACGTGTATCTTTTCCAAAGAAATTGGTTTCTCTCAAAGAGTGTGATATTTCTAAAGTTTGTTTTGATGTTTCTTACTTGAGAATGTGTTTTGTGACTGAATTACATTTACAATTGTTGAAATTATTGTTAGTTGATGATTATTAAATGCATAATTAAATAGCTCAAGTAAGCTTTATTCAACCCAGTTCTATATTAATCAATTGTGCAAATAAATTAGAAATATACAGGTACAAGTACTAATTTATCCATTATTTATATGGCTATCTTTTGGTATGAGTCTGTGGCTATTATGGGCTAGTTCATTTGTGGAAAGTTTTAGTTCTGACCAATTTTTAAATTAATTTTTAATGTAATTAATGTGCTGCGTGACGTACAGGACCACAGCGTCCCGTACGTCACGCAGCACATTAATTACATTAAAAATTAATTTAAAAATTGGTCAGAACTAAAACTTTCCACAAATGAACTAGCCCATAATAGCCACAGACTCATACCAAAAGATAGCCATATAAATAATTTCATCTGTTGTTATTTCTTGTTTAAAGTCTCTAAATGTCCCGTACGTCACAATCCAAATAGCTTGGACCTGCCCTATTCCATTTATCCATTATTCCATTTATCCATATCCATACAAATTAAACTTTGAAAAATATTTGCCCTTGGATTGTCAGCAAATGAATATTACTGTATACGAGTCAAGGGTTTTAATAGGCCTATAGGATGTAGATCTAGATGAAGCAAAGTATTGCCCACCAGCACCAATCTACAAGCCTGTGTACACACACTTGAGGAGTTAATTAGCAATTCAAATTAGACTACCTTTCCAGATGCGTATTTAGCATGGTAATCTCATATAATGGTTATATAACATCTGTGAGAGAAGTGTGCTGGTGTAGAGGGGACCCTATTGGATTTGTAATGGCAGGTCTTAATTGGGCTTCTATCCTAGAATGGAAAAATAGCAATCAAATTTTCATTCCTTTCAAATCAGAATTCATGAGGGCTGAGGAAGATATAACTGGCATTGTAGGATATTAATCTTGTTAGGTCTTATGTAACAAATTTCATGAGACGTGCATGTAGATGTATTTAGATCTTAGAAATAGAATGAGGAAGGCAATAATGTACCTTCCTGTTTCTAGTCTAGTGAGGAGTGATTGGAAAAAAATCATAGCCATTCATTAACTTGTTTTCAATTTCACGAATACAATACAAGACATTAAATACATGTACAACATCCACAATTTGTGTGTAATTTCACTGATTTGAAGCTTCAGACAGAGCAAGGGAGTTGAACACTGAGGATTTCCAATGCATGTGAATAGTTTAGTAGCTTTGCAAGCATTTACAACCTATTTAAAGGTAAAGGCCAGTTATGGTCATGCGATTGCATTGTGAAAGAAACGTTGTGGAATCGATCAGAAAAAGTTGATCATCTAGCATAGTATTGGTGTGTACTGCAAGGTTCTGGAATCATCAAAATGATAAGAAATTTGGCAAAGTCTTGGTAAAGTTACAAGCACTGTACACAGAAAGATGTAAATGGGACTATACGCACATGTGCGCGACACATGCGTTTATCTCTCATAGACCATGTAGATAAACTAATTTACCAAATATATCAATTAGTAGGCGGTTTCCCCGTCAAAATTTTTATTATCATGTATTAGTCAAAATATATTCTTTCACATGATTGGTAATAAGAGCTCTATTTCATTTTTTTGAAATTGGGGTATTTCCAATACTGGTCTTTGCCTTTAATGCATTTGCTCTAATCCTTATTTTCCTCCATTTGTTTTTCTTCTCCTAGATGGATGGAAGCGTGTATACGGGAAGACCTACCCCCTACTACAGAGCTGGAAGAGGGGTTACGTAATGGGGTATACCTGGGCAAACTGGCACACTTCTTCGCCCCTGACAAGATACCACTGAAGAGGATCTATGACAAGGACCAGGCTAGATTCCAGGTAATGATGAATATAATTCTATTTTAAAAAAAATATTTTGAATGGTTTTTGCTTGCTGGCTGAAGCTGAATCTGCACAAATATCTTTACATCACATGCATAATTTCAAATTATTGAAAGGATTCATACTATGTACCTACATGTTCATCAAGGATCTATTGCCCCCCCCCCCCCCCTCCCCCATCCACCTCACCCACCCAAGATGAATTTATCTATTCTATGATTTCTTTCTTCAGACAAGCAAAATGATGTGAAAGTAGAAAAAACATGTGAATGCCATTGAAAGTGGGTGTGTCTGGTATGTTTGCCTTCAGCTTGCAGGGCAAGACAGTCATTAGGCCTGTCTTCATCAGCTCGAGATCGCCAAGTAACCCGCTATTTTAAATATCCCGATCGCAAATTATCCAGTTAATTTGCGTCTTCATCAGCCCGAAGTTGCAATTAGTGAGATATCTGGTCGAGATAATCATCCCAAGAGATCTTGGGCTAGTGGCAAAATATCCAGCTATTTTTCTGGTACCTCTTCATTAGCCTGAAGACTTACACTATGCGCGAACGCTGAGCAAAATATCTCAAGCTAATTTCTCGAGCTCAATTTCAAGTTTCAAGGTCAAGTTTCGAGCTGATGGAGACAAGATTTGTAACTTCGGAATTATTTTCCCGATAAGAAATACTGTAGCGGGCTATTTGGCAATCTCAAGCTGATGAGGACAGGCCTCTTTACAGTGTACATTTATATGTTTATTTTACCGTGATAAAAGTGGGCGAGTATGACCATGAAAGGCACTCCTTGTTTTGCCTCAATGTTTTCAATGTGCACTTGCCATTTGAGGAGGAGGGTCTTTAGACTTCAGCGGTAACATGATGAAGCTGAAATGTTTTGAAATGAATTTCTTTCTGATTCTCTTCAATCCACTTTCCTCTCTGCATGCATCTTGACAAATTGACCTCAAACTTGAACTACTAGAGTGATATCTGTTATCTCAAAAGACAGTGTAACATTGATGAGATTATTAACATATACGGTACATGTACATATATTTTAACATTGATTTATTGAATTCTTAAAATAAATGAAATAAAATGAATAATTTAAACAAAGGTATTTTCTATAGAGATATTTATTTTTAGTTTAAAATAAAGTTACACGTACATGCATCTTCACCTTTTGCCTAATTGTCACTGAGAAGTCATAAGTAAAACAGCTTTCCAGACCAATTCAAAACCTGTTCCTTGAAAGTCCATCAATAGTTTCAAAACTGTTATGCTTTTTTTTTATCTTGTGTTCATTTTCTTTGAAATAAAAAAAAAATAACATCAAGGCATCTTACTGTTGAAAAGGGTTAAGGTACGTGGGATATTCAAATGTATGCACATTACATACATGTATGCCTTACATGCTCTTAAGGAGAACCAAGATTTTGTTTGTAATGAATATGACTTTTATGATATGGAACGTCTTGATATCAGAGCTCATGCTGGGCATCTACTGTGCCTCACCAAAAGTAAATACATATACATTGTAGTTTGTACATGTACATTGCAGCTTCATGGAGATACTGCATACACGTACTGTACATGTACATGTATGCAGCAAATGGAGCTGTGATCTGAACAGATCGTTGAAGTACCTCTATTTATTTGAGATCTACAGGTAGATAAGAGTCAATGGAATGCATTGATCCTTGGCTATGCATTTTATTTTTCAGTTCTGAGAAGTCCCCCCCCCCCCCCCATACAACACCTTTTGAATTCCACAGTTCATTTATTTCATACGAATTATTTGTATAAACAAATACCAATATTAATCAAATCATCAATTTAATGGTTAAATTACATTATTTTGTTACTGGTCACAATTATTGACTCATATTGGTCCTATGGATTAAGTTAAATTACATGTACTGATCATGTAATTTGAGTGACTCTATAGAACATTAACTTTAGAGATATGGTGTAAAAGTGTGATATATTAAAATAAATATATCATGTTTGTCCGTTATCAATCTAGATATGTCAATTCCTCTTCTTTGACTGTTGTAAATCATATCAAATAAAGTGCCTTAAAAGGGAAAGAAGAAGGAAAAGTCTGCATTATTAAGGTTGCCTTGTCTGACCACCTGTTTGCCATGTAGGGCTAGTTGAATAGAATGTGATGAGACATTAGGAGAGCTGAGATGACTAGAATCACCTACTGTTCTCTACTGGACATGGGTGGAACAAACGATGAAGATGACGATGGACTAATAATTTCTCACGGTTAGACGCAAAAGATGAAGATCGAGCGTACATGTAGTTGTAGGAATTATCCTAACACTCACTTGGTATGTGTGTGTTTCCTGTATCATACATGTATTTACTTTGATATCAAATTATTTTTTGTTTCTTGGTCATTGTGGATCATATGTTAGGTACATATAGCATAAGGCCTATAATACATGTACATGTACTTACTAAATTTTAGGCTTACATTTTATAGATAGATTTATAGGCAAAAGTAGCCTGATATGATTGCATATATACATCTACATGTACATGTACATGTATGAGATTTTGAAACAGTTTTCCAGAATCAACGCACTTTATGATTAACAGACAACCTTCTCAACATAATCCTGTGAACAATATTCACCTGATTATTGCTTTCACTATGACTCATGCTGATCAAAAGCATTGAGGAATCAGTTTAAGAGACAATATGGTTCAAACATAAACAGTAAAGTACATTCACTGTTGGAAACAGGAAAAAGTGTGCAAGTTTTTGGCCCATCCAATTGGCGATCGGTTTTATACCGTTTTCTAACTCTTTCTAAACCATTGAGTGTTTTTTATTATCTTGTAAGAAAATGAAAGTGGGTTGTCCTCATGTTGTGACTGCCAGAGATAAGGTTGACCTTTGATCTTGATCAAGGTATATGAGGTCATAGGTCATTGGCGTGGCTCCCTTGATAATCAAGATATAAGCCTGTCTAGGAATGTTTGATTTCTGCTTTGATACTGATCTTGTTTTTTGCAAACAACATATTCTGGAGTCCTTGCGATGTAGCCACAGATTTATTTCCATGAACGATGACAGACAAATTTTCATGAACAATCCTCTATAGTTTGATGTTCTGTTTAAAATGTTCCAATGGAAAAGTAAGTAATATATAAATTCCCATAACTCCCTGTACATGTGGCTCTAGAAAACTAAAAAAAAACACTGGGGTACCAAGTTTATGATGTAAAATAGTCAGTATATAGTCCTTTTGTTTTGGATTAAAAAATCTAAAGAGAAAAACAAAAGTAGAACAGAAATTTAGTATTCTAATTTGCTTTAACTGGAAAAGGGTTACTCTACAAATTCAATAGATCTTAGCTTACAATTCACATGTAAAAACTAAAAAGAGAAGAAAATAGAATAGAAAAGAGTTACATGTAATCTGCCTGGGCTGTAATGAAAAGAGGCTTCATGTACCCCAAATCATGCATCATACTTTCAATAATAGTCTTCGGACTAAATGATAATTTGTAACCCTAAATAAGGGACAACTTTCTGATTAGTTATACCACAAACTTAACATTGTTAATGAGAATAGGGGATGATACAGGCACCAATCATCACTGTGTAATGTGGTCTAATGAACCACAGGATGTGCCTAGGACCTGGGTAATACTCACAGAGCTTTGGCCGTATCTATCAGGGTAGTTGGAGACCTGATTGTGCGGTGCCACCCCATGCTAAGGCAGCATCCGCCCTGATACAACTGATCCTTAGTGCTGTACACCCTGGGCAGACGAGCTAAATTCATCTCAATAAGTAATTTTGTCCTAGTCTAAAAATTTCATATCTATCAAACAGAAGTTTGAACATCATTTTGAACTATAAACTTGATAAAGAATCAGGGTTCACTTGTAAATGAAGTATCAGACCGAAAAGGTACGTGTATACCTGGCCGGTGCTGAATGTGGATGCACACTGGTGATTGCCTGATTGGCCAGCCGACACTAAACATTGTTGAACCGATTTCTTCAAGTCTATTTTCATCATTTCAGTGTTTCTGTAATTGATTCTTCATTTCACCTGTTTACCAGTACGCCTTTTATGCTTTGAAAATTCTGTTTAGGCCTACAGTGTTTCTTTATAAATATATGAGTTCAGTACAAATTTCTTCTAGTGAGAATGAGCTGCTACCCTCTTTTTTGCTTGCTGGCCAAAACGTGACCACTGCGAGTGGTCTATATCAAGACCAACACAATGCAAGTGGCTGTACTTTTTTGTTCAGATGGCATGATGGCAGTTATATATTCTGGTCAGTAGCCCCTCTGAGTCTAGTGCTATTGAGTTGTGAAGTCTGTGGACAAACCCATTTATATGTACAGGCCATATATGTGATTATATTATAAACACTACTGACAATAGTTCAATAAGGCATATATCTGTAGGACTCGTCTTTAAAGATGTGCAGTTCCAATATCTCAGTATACCCAATAATTCAGCTGACAACATTCTGAATCTCAACCCTCTCAGATAATATTCAATGTAAAAATATGATGGATCTTCAAAATTAACTTTTTTTTTCTTTCTAGAACTTGTCTTTTATTGTTATTATTTGACACATTGATTATTTTGAATGTGAATTAACATTTATCAACTTTAGTCTGGTTTACAGCACTGTTCATGATTATCCATGCCAATATAGTATGTCACACAGAGATATTAAATTTGAACAAATCACAAACAAAAGATAATTCAACCTCGTAGTTTTCATACAGTGTTTGGCCTTTAACCATCCTTGGTCCGATAGCTCTGTCAATACATCCTGGTTAAAAGGAATATCAAAACAGATGTAAACAGAGAGTTGTTGTGAGGAGTTTAATCAGTAATTGCAACCACTCTTGGACAGAGATATGATTGATTCAGTGGAGATCTATTTTGAGCTCTCTCTTCATCATCTGTGAATCATCATCACCATTCCTTGCTGCTTAACAGGCCTGTTCAGACTCATAGAAATCTATGAAACATTGGTATAAAAGAAACATATCACCATTCCTTGCTGCTTAACAGGCCTGTTCAGACTCATAGAAATCTATGAAACATTGGTATAAAAGAAACATATCACCATTCCTTGCTGCTTAACAGGCCTGTTCAGACTCATAGAAATCTATGAAACATTGGTATAAAAGAAACATATCACCATTCCTTGCTGCTTAACAGGCCTGTTCAGACTCATAGAAATCTATGAAACATTGGTATAAAAGAAACATATCACCATTCCTTTCTGCTTAACAGGCCTGTTCAGACTCATAGAAATCTATGAAACACTGGTATAAAAGAAACATATCACCATTCCTTGCTGCTCAACAGGCCTGTTCAGACTCATAGAAATCTATGAAACACTGGTATAAAAGAAACATATCACCATTCCTTGCTGCTTAACAGGCCTGTTCAGACTCATAGAAATCTATGAAACACTGGTATATAAGAAACGTATCACCATTCCTTGCTGCTCAACAGGCCTGTTCAGACTCATAGAAATCTATGAAACACTGGTATAAAAGAAACATATCACCATTCCTTGCTGCTTAACAGGCCTGTTCAGACTCATAGAAATCTATGAAACACTGGTATAAAAGAAACATATCACCATTCCTTGCTGCTCAACAGGCCTGTTCAGACTCATAGAAATCTATGAAACACTGGTATAAAAGAAACATATCACCATTCCTTGCTGCTCAACAGGCCTGTTCAGACTCATAGAAATCTATGAAACACTGGTATATAAGAAACGTATCACCATTCCTTGCTGCTCAACAGGCCTGTTCAGACTCATAGAAATCTATGAAACACTGGTATAAAAGAAACATATCACCATTCCTTGCTGCTTAACAGGCCTGTTCAGACTCATAGAAATCTATGAAACACTGGTATAAAAGAAAGGTATCACCATTCCTTGCTGCTTAACAGGCCTGTTCAGACTCATAGAAATCTATGAAACACTGGTATAAAAGAAAGGTATCACCATTCCTTGCTGCTTAACAGGCCTGTTCAGACTCATAGAAATCTATGAAACACTGGTATAAAAGAAACATATCACCATTCCTTGCTGCTTAACAGGCCTGTTCAGACTCATAGAAATCTATGAAACACTGGTATAAAAGAAAGGTATCACCATTCCTTGCTGCTTAACAGGCCTGTTCAGACTCATAGAAATCTATGAAACACTGGTATAAAAGAAAGGTATCACCATTCCTTGCTGCTTAACAGGCCTGTTCAGACTCATAGAAATCTATGAAACACTGGTATAAAAGAAACATATCACCATTCCTTGCTGCTTAACAGGCCTGTTCAGACTCATAGAAATCTATGAAACACTGGTATAAAAGAAAGGTATAACAAATCATTATATAGCAAAAGGAGCATTCAGACTAGAAAACAACATCATATGAACGAAATTTGTCTAAAGAAACTCAACTTGAAGAGGTCAATTGACATGACAGCTGGCCAATGAGCAGTTTAACGATTTTATAACGATACAATATGACGTTCGGAACTTCAGACTAGATCGGAACTCTGATTCTTTTTGTTCTAAACGGTCCCCAAACAGGCGTTCCACAACTTTCACTATATAATGTTTCTTCATTTGACATTAAGACTTTTTACAAATTTTTGCAAATCCAATTCTTGTACATGTACATGTATCTTAGCTCTACCAGGGCTCCACACTAACTTTTTTGCAAGGTTATCTGGATTTAAAAAAAATTGGGGGTCCAGATTCAGATTTTGGACACCCACGTGTCCCAGGTGCCCTTTAATGTCAAGCCCTGACTATATGATGAATTCTGGTTGTGTGAACGCGGGGTATAGTAGTTGAACCATCCCACACCAAAAGAATCACCAGTCATGGCTATACTTGTGGTCATTGTTTTCTTTCTACATTTAATTTGTATGGGCAGTGGATAGACCAGAGGGATTAGTATTACTAGTACAGTGAACTCGTGAAAACAGTTTTGTCGTTCAGACAATGATCCGTCTGATGGAAGACTTCCGTAGAAGAGATCTAGATAAGCTTATAAAAGTACAAGTATCATATTAAGATTTATCTTTAATCTTCTGTAGCAAATTATTATCATTGAAATCAATATGTTAATAATTCCAGTAACTTTGAAACATACGATTTACAGATTTGCGTTTCTATTTCTCTATAGGATCATTGTTATCTTTTGTTAATTTCTGATTAAAATGATTTACCAGTAATTTTGTTTCACGATGCATGGATCGGAATGAAAAGTACCTTACTCTTGAATGCAAAGCTTTACATGTAAAAGAATTTCGTTCTTGAAATTTTAAGAGCCATCAACCATGACAAAAAATATAATGGCAGGGAATATTAAGGAGAACCCCACCTTTAAAACAGGAAAAACTGAAGTGAATGTCTCATCTGTTAAGTTTAAAGCGATTCCTAAGTAAGGCACACACACCTGACTTCTGAAGTCAGTTACCATGCAACAAACATGCTTCCTGTTGATTCTTTGTCTTCCGCCAAAATGGATGAAAATAGACGTTTCCATGGCAACGGACTACAGAGAAGGTAGTTTGCGTCTCGATGATTACTCTCTTGAGGTCCCGTCCGTGACACTTTTTTCGTTACCCCGGCCGTCCTGTTGGGAGTTGACAAGCGTGTGCTTGATCGCAAGCAGACTGCTGGTCCTTGCTGAAATATTTAAAGGAAACATTAGATCTCTGTAATGGTTACAAGTATACTGTAGCATGTCTGGTTCAAGGAAAGGAAATAGTAATCTCTCCTGTTTGTTTTTCTATGTTTATGTTCTGATCTAAATTTTGATTTTTGTCAAGCTCAATCAATGAGCTTATCATACCCATTAAATGCTTATATGCTCTACCATGTGCAGTACGGTTTAGTGTAAATAAGAGAAATACCACTCAATTTAAATGCAAGCTAAATTAATTCTGCTTTATAAATGTACACATATCTTTTGGGCTAGGTTAGATTGGAATTAGAATGCCTGTGTGATCACAACATTTTTCTCAAATAGTTCAAAGTTAGTGAGGTGACAGAATATAGATGATGTACGTTGTTATGGCTTGCACATCGTGTCCTATACAGTACGTGTACATGTGTGTAATTTCTTTGTTTTCCTTTTTGAGATTAAAGTACAAGTGATGTCAGATTAGTGTTGAGAGAGAGGGGTGTTGAGACAGAGAAAGAGAGGAAGACAGGAGCAGAGAGAGAAAGAAAGAAAGAGATGCCACTTTGAAATATCCCTTTGTTTTTCCCCTCAATTTTAAAAGAACAACATAACAAAGGCAAATTATTACGATAGTCGAGCTCTCAGACATCAATTGACAATACTCTTTCATTCTGTTTGGTCACTCGTGATCGTTGTTCTGTGCACTTCCCAAACTTCCCAAAGAGACCCCCAAATATAGCTTTTGGTCCCCCAAGGCTACAAAATTCCATTTATCAGAAACAATCAGGATCAATTTAGGGCTGTTGGAAGTAGATAACAAACAAAAATGGAAGCCGATGCCGGCTTCCTCCGCTCTAAAGGTTAGAATACTTTTCAGTCCATCGGTTGACGTTTATAATGTCATGAAATTCAATCCTATATGCCAAGCTATATATATATATATATATATATATATTCAAATGATGAAGATCCTGATTATTCTGTTTGAAATATCATTCACCTAAATTCCTATCTATTTCGGTAGGTCAAATTCAAGTATTTGGTCAATCTGTTCACAATTCTTTTTCATTAAAACCTAAGAGCTGAGTAAGATTCCTCATGTATGTAAATTTTGCTTACCAGCAAGAAGGTCATATCCTAAAGGGCACTAAGGTCCTTTTTGCTGTGTTCCCTCATGAAGAGCGAAACGTGGGTAATCAACCATTTGTTTATTTGTTTTTATTTTTATTTAATCATATATTCATTTATTTATTGAATTATCTTGTTTTACCTACCAGTATTTTTACATTCCTATTTACTTCTCCCTCTCTCTCTCTCTCTTTTCTTGTATTTTACTAGGCTAAAGGACTTCATTTCAGACACACGGACAACACAGTGCAATGGATCAGAGCTATGGAAGTCGTTGGATTGCCCTCGGTAATTATAGTTTACTTGTATTTGTATGATACACGTATTAAACCATAGTGAATCCAATGTCACATGCTCAGTATATTTCTATTCTCAAATAAATTCTACTTTGCCCTTTTCGCTCTTGACCTACATGTAAACATATCTCTCTGTTTTCATTTCCATCATTCTGTTGTAAATACTTTCTGTTCCGTTTCTTGATATTTCTTCGGACTTCATGATTTTTTCCATCAAGATATTATATGGTACCGTTGTCATTAATACATTATGCATGAAAACAGAATATCAGTTTCTCATTTCGAGATGTAGATATTTCCTTTTGTAGCAACAACAACACAAGTGGCCCTTGTTCATTAAGGGTATCTCTGTTCTAAAGAAGTGAACCATTTAACGCCCATGGATAATACACTCAAAGTCTTGAAGTGTTATAGATATCAGATCTATTGTTACACAAATTGGAGACATTAATATAGGATGAAGGTAACTGATATGAGATAAAAATAAAAAAATTAGTTTCCCGATGCTGGTTCTAGAAAGTTCAAAAGAGAAAACAAGTACTTATTGGACGATGAGAGCCTATTATTATTGACTCATGTTTCCTTCGATACTAAGTTAAAACCCTAATCACTTCAAATTGATGATTGTAGATAGTGAAGATGATATTTAGATGGCCTTCTTTTCCCCAAGTCACAAATTGATTAAAACTTCTGAAATCAATTATTAGAATAAATCAAAATACAAAACCATGCCTCAAATAAGTACAGGTTGTATATCAACACCAACAACCACATAAAAGGCTAATACCAATATGAAACCAAAGCAAACCTTAGTTGTGGTTGGAAAATATATATTACTGAAATATCATTTAGATTGGAAATTCCAAGTGCTTAATCATACTGAAGTGTCATTTAAAGTGACATTTCTTCATACTCTGGCAATGATTGGTATCGGCCTATCCCCTTGTGGAATCAGATAACTTGGAAGTATATGCTTTCATAAGCCATCACAAGTTTGAAGAGGCCATTATGCACCTACTAGTAGCCGCATTAAAAATGTGAGCTATTATTATTATACAATGCTTCTTTTGTTTAGAACCCACATATTGATTAATGAACTACAGTTTCATTACATATTCTTGTAGAAGAATTGACTGCTTGCTGTTATTCAATTCAAGTGGAACGATTAAACTTGGGTTGTGAAGCAGCTTACAAAAAAGCTCCAAGAATCACATTTGCAAGATATTTCATCGACAAAACCTTTTCTTAACCCTCAAATTATTCAAGATGTTTAAACTTGCTGTTTCTGTTGATGCTGATCGAAGCCTTAACTTTGAACTTCTTCTTTCAAGTCAACTCTCTGGCAGAGTGCCACTGCCACTTTAATTGCATCACAGCTCAACATCCTTTGAGCTAGGTTACTACATTAGCCCCAGATTCAATTATAACATTACCTGTACTTTGCTCTTACTTCTACTCTACAACCACTACTTATTACATTAAATCAAGACATTTATGTCAGACCTTTGATGAAACAGCCTTTACAGCTTCCTGTAAATTGGATTTGTTAAAGCCCCTCCATAGTGTTGGGAGCCCCAAAAATATAATGGAAAAATTTCAATTAGGTTTTATTATAATGTGAAAGAAGAGGATGTCAAAAGACACATTTCTGCAAGAATTTTCACCCCACAAATGTGTTTGAAGTTGAATATTGATTGAAAGAATACAACATCTTTCTGAGTATAACAAAAAACTGAAATTTTGTATTCTTTTATCAATATTTGTATTCAAGCACATTTTTTTTTTTTTTTTTTTTTTTTGGGGGGGGGGGGGGGAATCTTTGCAGAAGTGTGTCTTTAATAAATGACATCCTCTTTCACATAATGATACAATTTAAGTGAAATGTTGCCATCAAATTTGTGGCTCCCAACACTTTAAAGGGGCTTTAAACATTTATTAACAAGCTGGAATGTTGTACATGTTCCTTGTGATTGTCACAATGTACCCTTATCAGCATCTAAAATTACTTACTGTAGGTAGCCTACGTGTGCAGCCTCACACACCTGATCAAATCCTGCAAGAGAAAAACAAAATGAGGAAGCATAGTGCGCGCATTCATATATCTTCCAAAAAACTGGAAGAAATTGGGGATCAAGACATCTGTTGCCCAAATATTCTTTTTTCTTTTTTCACCTGTACCTTCCTGTTCCATTCATTTTACAATATAATGTTTCATGATAGTGTATTTCATTGGCTAATACCAGTCACAGAAGTATACAATTATATGTACACTGTAGGTTGCTGGTACAATTTACAATTTCAATTCACAGAGTAGAGACATAGGTTGCGTTTATCGACCAGATTTTTGGCAAGAATCAGGTTTCTCAAACGTCTTTCAGGCAAATTTAGAAGGTGATAAATGCAAAGCCTTTTTTAAAGGGCTTTAGATATGGGCATATCTAAAGATGCAAAAAGGTGTGTTTTGTATGTGACATACAGCCAGAATCACGTTTCTGAGAGATCGATAAACGCAAAGCTGTTTTGAACCTCATATACAAATAGGACCACCCAGGTGTTGTGTACAAGCATGTGTGTGAAGTTGACCTCCGAGAAACTGTCTGCTTCCCGGGTCAAAACAGCTGGGCAGACACTAGGCCTTTATTTTGAATCGTGAAGGGACGATAAACGCGACATCCCGCAAATCACGATCGTATAGTGGGGTATGATAGTGGGGTTCAATAGTGGGGTATGATATGTACATATCTAGTGGCAAGCCCTGATAAACGCGCCCTGAGATATACTTGTAAGTGTGAAAAGAACTTGGAGGGGTTGTTTTCTTGGAAAAACACAGTCTAAAAATATATTGATTGCTTTGAAGTAATGAGTGTTTACCCTGCACCATTGTAGATGTACCAATACTCAAAATTTTCCAAGAAACCATCATAATATTTGACTGCAGCTATTATGTGATGATTTATGTTCAGTTGTGTGTCCTGAGTAGAGTTTTTGAATGTCTAATTCCAGTTGACATGTTACCAGAACTTTACCATTAAAAAAAGGAGAGGAATTTCGTTGTTGGGGGAAAGACTTTTCTAATCATCACCCTTGCGTGTGACCCTAAGCGCTGTCTTTTCCTGCATTATATATAAACCTTATTAAGCATGCTTCAGAGTTAGAGTGCACATAGACATGTAGAACTATGTGCATTTACTCAAGCAATGAACAAATTGGTAATGGTATGTGGCTGGCCAAGTCAATATATAATTTGATCATAGAATTACCAAAGTTCATATCTACGTGTATTTGGAGCCCAGTAATTGAAAATTATATCATTTGCTCTCACTTCCAAATTTCAGGCCATTCCTATACCTGTTAATAGTTGCATTTCTTGTACTCTATTTGTTGTAAGATTATATATTTTTTGCTGAAATTAGGCTCGAGTAGAGAATTTATCAATTGATAATAATAATAATAATATTGGATTCTTATATAGCGCACGTATCGACCTTGCAAGGTCCTCAAGGCGCTCCAACATTACCCGGCTATGCTAGGCTGCCGATTTCGACGCTCACAGCATTTTAAGGAATTCCTTCCTACCGGTACCCATTTAACACCTGGGTGGAGAGTGGCAAATGTAGATCAATGTCTTGCCAAAGGACATTAGTGTGGATAAATTCTTTTCTTCATTCACTCTATACATTTTCACAATTACATTTTTTTCTTTTCATTATCCAGGCAAGCGCAGAGAGGAAAACCCTTTCTATTTTGCAATTCTCTGGAAATTTGGTGTCTTTAGCAAATATTTGTGATTGTGACTTTGAAATACATCTGTATTGATGTGATAAATCAGAGCTCATTTAGTTTAGACAAGTATTCCCGCAGACTTGACAGCGTTGATGATTGACATAGCATGTGACTATGTAGTGAACATGCATTCACTATTCGGTCTATAACATCTGTTTATACAATGTTCTTTTCTGATTCCCGACAGATCTTTTATCCAGAAACTACAGATGTCTATGATAGGAAGAACATGCCCAAGACTGTCTACTGCCTCCATGCTCTCAGGTAATTCAAAAAATTGAAATTAGAAAGAACCGAAAATCAAGAAAAGGAGTTGAAAGCGATTAATAAGTGTCTATCAAAATGATTGTAAATTGATTGTTTTTACTCTGCAGGCACCGGGTAGGGCTTGATTTGACACTTGAACACAATCCCTTAAAATCTTGAGCCAAGTTTAAGACAGTCAGTCTCTGGCTGCTTTAGCAGAGCTGCCAACCAGTAGGATTTATTCGTATTGTGTACAATTTTAGAAGTAATTACGATAGTACGATTTTCCAACAACAACAAAAAACTATTTTTGTTTGTTTTGTTTTGTTTTTTGTTATTTTGTGTGTTTGTGTGGGCCATTTTCAATGGCAAAATGCCCATTCTGTCCTGTAAAGTATCCCATAAGCATCTTACATCAGCAATTTTGGGATGTTCATTGGTTCATTGAACCAGTCATGATGAAATCATATACAACCAATGATCCATAAAAAAAATTCTTCCTGTAAGTAGGAACTGTAAGAGGCATTCACCTGTTGAAGAGTTCATTATTTTGTTATATTAAGACTGAAAGATATATTGACATTCTTCACTAAAGTGGTACAAAGCTGTGTTTCAAAGATAACTGGATCAGACTGGTTTGCAGCGATCCACATTCGGTAATGGTTGCCCATAACGACAGCTTAGTCGCAATCACCATGCCCATACGCTCAATTAATTGACATAGCTGTCCGTTGCCAATGACACTAATCCGAATACATAAATACATTCAATTTAGCGATTGGAAATCCATGTCACGTTCTCTTGATCAGTTATTACTCGTTCATTACGACGAGCCGAACGATGATGAATTCAATTTGATTACCCCTTTGTAACAATGTCACGACTACGATGAGCTTGCTCTGTGTGAATGATTCTTGCAAGAGCAACACTTTTTTCAAAAGATTAGTGAGAAAAAACATGATTTTGACGGAATTGGCAGCTTTCCAAGCTCTGTTATAGGAGGGGTGCAAACATTGAGTCATATAGACAAAAGCATACCTGTACATTATAAAGGAAGAAGGCTAACTGGTGTTTAAAAAGGCAATGTACTATTACGAGTACATTAAAAGAGATTACATCTGATGTGAGCTATTGTATGTTTTGAACAGGACAGACATTTCAAAGGTTGTCTTGACACAATGTCTAAGCCATTCAGATACAATCAACAAAATGAACATTTCATTTGAAATAATAAAGGTACATGCTTTCATTGTTTTTTTACAGTACATGTTTGTGATACAAAGTACCCTTAGTACTTCAGAATTATGATCAAAACCAGATGTAGGTTACATCAGACTTCAGATGTTGACACTAACATTGAAGGCCTACCACCTCAAATACCTATTTAAAGGACCGGGCCTATTTCACTGATAACAATGCAAGTGATTAGAGTAAATTGGAGTTGAATGCTCATTAGCATGATACAGTGAGATGAGACCTGCAATGCTAATATCCAATGCCTTTTCACATCAACTCCAGGAGATCAATTTTGGAATAATTCTTAGGTAGAATTTTTTAATTTTCATTGGTTGAATGGGACTGGCCCTTTTATGCAAGTCTTTTTATCTGAGATAAAAATATTTTTGTATGTATTCATAACAGACCGTTGAAATGCATTGCAACAGTACATATGCAATTTAAAGGGATGGTGGTAGTATCGGGCTGTCAGAGGGCACCTTTAAAAATCTCACTAGGTGTTGACATGTTGCATACGTTGCGAGCTCTGTGCAAAGTACATGCTTGCTTCAACATAATGATGCATGAGCCTTGCTTGAGTACCAGTCTGGGAACAATATGGCACTGAACAACAAGCCTCTTATAACCTACATGTAGTCAAGTCATACCAACAAGTCAACGTCAGGGAATAGTTAAACAAAACTGTTCGCCGACATCCCATTGAATCGCTTGCTATGCAATTGACTCAGGTTTTAATGGGATGTCTGCGAACTTGTACTTGTGACGTTTCATGAACAATAGCCAAATTAACAATCTTAACAATAGACCAATCCAAAACCTTCAAAAAGAATAACATAACTCCTATGGCCAAGAATCAATCAGTTGTGAGTTGGTTTGGAGTTGGTTAGGTAGTGTATGTGACTGAAGTATAAATAAGCTTCATGTACTACCTGGTGAAAGCCAGGTAGTGCAGTGGGGCTTTAAAATGAAATTGCCCATGACCTCTGTTCTCAAGGAAGTAGGTAGTGGCTACCAGTGTAGATAGGACATGAAACATGAGAAGACTTGTAAGGCGAATATACACCCTAAAGGATCATAGTCCATGCTATGTATTTCTTAAGGTGGGGCAACAACCAAAGAGGAAGTCTTTTTTTACTTTGATTGTTGAACAAAAACAGATTATCTTTCTGTCCAAGAACTATTGATACCTTGTGAGCAGAGAGCCAGCAGGGAGCAGCAGGGTAACAACCCTATGTTGAAGCAGACAAGTAAACATCCTTCTTGCCCTCTGCAGATGATATCTGGTATTTAAAATAGTAATAATAATACTCTGGATTTACGTAGCGCTTAATTCGGAATACCTTCTCGAAGCGTTTTGCAGATATCATTACCCTGGTTATCAGATTAATTCAAGCACAATGTGCACCATCTCCACTCTGAGTCCCTGGGGAGTATTCCTACCATATGGTCACCGTGAGGGCATACCGGTAGGCAATTACTAACACAATGCTTTCGTCATCTCACCGGGTCCCTCTCTTGGGTAATGAGTGGCAAATGTAGATTAATGCCTTGCCAACGGACATTAGTGCCGTGTTGGGGATCGAACCCATGACCTTTGAATATCAAGTCAAGTGCTTAAACCACTCGACTACGACACTTGAGGTGATTTCTGTCATTTACTTTCATTTACTCTTCATAACATGATGGAATCGATCATGTCAATGTGTTCAAATTATTGTGTTTCCAATTTCTTCCTATTGAGTAATAAACATCATTCCTAACAAATTTGCACTTTTTTTAAAGCAAAAAAGAGAGAAAGAAACATCAGTTATTCTTCTTCTTTTATTTCATTTTCAACAAGTATAATTCACAAACCTTATAAATGTTTACTCTGTCTTTTTTCTGATTGATATTGATATTATTGTCCAAAGAAGACAAATGTTAACGGGTCAAAGTAATGCTTTCAGAGTATTTTTAGTATGATGGCGAAATATCTGGATGTGTGTTTTATAAATGTGCATAAATTTAGACCACAAATTTGTACCAAATACTGATGCCCTTTTGTCTTTGCTTTCATGAGTTCAAAACATAGCAAAATACAACTCCTACAACTCTTGGATATAATCTGCATGCATATGTGATGAATTAGATTATGGGTATTCAACCGTCGATTACTCGACATCCATTCATTAGTCTCTTTCAGCTGTGTCATGGGGATTTCTCCTCTGACTCATGTTCATTTACGGGATTATTTTTCTGTTTTTCTTCGGGGTTGTCTACTTGCCCCCTCCCCTTCTGGTCGTGGTGTGCTTAGTGCTGATTTCCAACCCCTATCTCCATAAATTAGTGATTAAGGTTTGCAATGGAGGTTAGTGTGTCTTGACAGCGAGCTCGAGGCAGAGATTTATGAGATTGAAGTACAGTGCTAAATAAAGGACTGAACTATATTCTCTCTGTTTTCAACTCTTTCTATTACTTTCTCTTTCTCCCTTTTTCTATCACTTTTCTATCACTTGCTCTTTCTCTCTTTTGCTCTTTCTCTCTATCACTTGCTCTCTCTCTCTCTCTCTCTCTCTCTCTTTCCCTCTCTCTCTCTTTCCCTCTCTCTATCACTCGCTCTTTCTATCACCTGCCCTTTCTCTTAAGTGCTTGTACACTTCAACAAGAGGACTTTAATTCTATCATCTTGTTCTTTCTCTTTCTATCACTCTCTCTCTCTCTTTTCTGTATACTACTTTGTAATATAATACAGAAAGTTATTGTTTGTCATACCAAATAATTTTTAAGCTCATTTTATTACTTGTAGTCCTATTGCTCAAGATGTGCTTTACATGTATTTGATATGTACTTACCCTCATTTAATAAAGAAATTAAAATAATTTCTTTTTATGCAGTTAAATGAGGATGTTGATTTGGATACAGGATATTATTTATATTATTGTTAACCACCCTTGTTGAATATACAACTTTCATTTTGTATTTCCTCCACAGCTTATATCTGTTCAAGCTTGGTATTGCCCCACAGATCCAGGATCTCTATGGAAAAGTGGACTTTACAGGTAATATGAGATGTCTCTTTCAAAGATACCATACCAGCATATAATCTGCTTGTTGCTCGGGTCATCTTGTTAGTTGCATTCACACTATACTGAATTTATAAAAGTTATTGAATTTAAGAAGTTAACATAGACATACAAATAGGATGCTATCAAAATGGTGTCTAGCATGTCACAAAGTATTCTAACCTCTAAATACAATGTACTAGGGCTGCGACGAGTAGTCGAATGCTCGAGTACCCGCACTGTTGACAACTACTCGAGTATGATTTCTCGTACTTGAATATTCAGCCGCAAAAAAAAAAAAAAAATAACAATGGAATACCTTGGTGTAAAATGGCCTATACATTACATGCTCAAATTTCTGTTCAGCCCGGAAGTTAAAGTATGATTATGTACCATGTATTATCATTCATATATAGTTAATTCCTTTATGTATCTATTTACACCAACTGTAAACATATTCCCTTCTCATTGATCTATAGATTTTGTACCTTTTGAAACAATCTCTGAAGGAAATCTTTCATCTAAGACCACATAATATTTACACTGGTGTGTATAAACACTGTTGATACATGACATGAATTCCTACCTGTACAAATATTGCGCAATACCAAGTACAGAAATGTTGAACTCTGTCTTATCAGCAATGTTTGCATTCATGAATTAATTCATGAATTACACACAGATGCTGTGCATACTGTCATAACACACAGTGTAATATGCAAAGTAACTATTTCTGTCCTTGTAACAATATATCTGTGTAGTGCTCAGGCACCAGATGTTAGTGAAAAATAACAAAGTGACAGACACTGTGTTTGCTATTTATTATTAAAGGTCATAGTCCTATGGCACTGGTATAGAAGTTTTATTTTGATAAAATTCTTGATTCTTTTTGTAGTTTCAACCAAAATATATGTATAGATATTAGTGAGTTTTAATGGAGGAAAATCACACAATTTATTAGTCTCCACTGGCAAACTGCTGTTTTGGCATTATGACAAACAAATCTTATGTAATATATACGGTATATGAAGGGAAAACACTTTGAGAATTTTTTTTGAAAGCTTTTGAAATGAAAATGATCTCCATTTATATTTATGACCCTTCATAAACAAAATTGTAGTCAATTTTTAACATTCTTCATTTCTGAATGCCTCTCTTTTAACATATGTTGGCTTTTGCCTTTTGAAATCATATCCGTGACAACGACGGCCTGACTACTCCCAACCTTTTCATATACCGGTAACAATTTTGAGACTATTCTGGTAGAAATAACAATAACAGTGCTCCATTAGACGTCAGTGTTACCATTGTAATATCAGAATGATGAAAACACATTTTCAGTATATCCTTTCTTCTCTGGAAAAAGAATGTCTTGCTTGATCAAGGTCCAATCTTATCCTTGGACTCCCTTGATCCAGCTGCTCATATATTTGTACTTTGATCTGTCCACTGTTCTCAAGTACAGGGACCAGTTTCACAAAGCCTTTTTTCAATGACAAATGACTAAAATCAGTGACAACTCTGCTGATAACCAATCAAAAGCAAGGATTTCACTAGCTTATAACTAAGACTGTCATTTGTCACTGATGACAAGTTTTGTGAAAAGGGTCCCAGGTCTAGAGAGAGCCAAGAGCCCTGAACAGACTTGATTTCCCCGCCAAAACTTCTCCGCCTCTTTCACCCATTTCCCGGTCTGAGTAAACATGGTTGTATGGACTTGAATGGGAGTTCTGTTGAGAGGCCATTGAACGACCATTAAAGAATGGTGTATCTTTTCCAAGGCAAATATTGTCTCGATGATTGATGATAAGAGAAAATATAAGAAATGACTCATAAGAAAAACAGACAGAAGTACCAGTATTTACAGTGTATCAATTCAATCAATTAGTCAGACATGGGGATTGATTGTAGAGAGAAAGATTGATCTGTACGTGATAGATACATGTAGAAGCCAATTCCTCTAACCTGGTAACATCCTTACATTTGTCACCATACAGCACAGTATACTGCCATGACATTCTTTACAAAATAATTCATTATCTACCTTGATCACAAGTGTGTTAAAGGCCATTTTTTAAAATTTGTATCCAAAGCCATAATAGTGTAAACCTTTAAAATGCATGCTTTGTTTTACTATTGATATTGATATAGATATGTAAAGATTTTGCTTAAACAAAGACAGTCAAGTACCATATATAAAGATCACATGACAAAGAATATATGAAGTCTTCTTTGAATGAAAAACACGTGACAGAATACTAGAGACAGAAATTTTCTAATTCCCCCATCAAATTTCCATTGATGTATTAAAAGGGCTAAGAATATGTGCTTCACCAATTGTTGAAATTTACAAAGTTTCATCCTGTTGGAAACCTCTTAGAGACCTTTATATACATGTATGTGGTTGAAGTTTTCCTGTTATTCTTTAGTGGCACTTTCGTATCATATTGAAATATCATCTTTTCCGGGATATCCTGTTTTGATTAGGATGGGCGGATTGGTTTAGAATTTACTAAAATATCATTAAACTTGTCCGTAGGCCTGTCCTTATCAGCTTGAGTTTGCAAAATATCCTGCTATTTTCAGACTATGGATATTATTCCGAAGCTCGAAATTGCACCTTCACCAGACCGATACGACCATCACAAACTAGCTCGGATGGGCGCAAATAAGCCTGTTGTTTCCCCAAAAGCGGGATGTTTTTGGAAACAAGACCAATATTTCTAGGGATATTTTCTAGACCAAATATCCTGCTAATTGCAACTGCGGGCTGATGAAGACGCAAAATAACTGGCTAATTTGCAATAGGGATAGTTTAAATAGCGAGTCATTTGGCAAACTCGAGCTGATGAAGACAGGCCTTGTTTTGATTTGGTGTCAGTAACCATGAGCTCATAATCTAGATGCTTTCAGACCATAGCAAGTGATTTTGTTATGTAATTACATGTACTGCATGGAGTTGAATCTTAATAATTTAATCTATACAGATACTTGTGGAAAACACTTGTAGAAATTGAATGATAGGCTCAAGACAATTATTGATGAAAGAAAGTGGCCTTTGTTGGAAAATTCTCAGAAAAACAGATGACATCCTAGTAGATGAGATTTTACACCTGATTGGCCAAAAGTGGGGAAAAGTTTTACAGGGTTCTTTGGGTTAGGCCAATTGAACTCCCATCTTTATCCATTCACTTCAGTAAGCTAAATTTAGCTAGTTTGCTAAAGATTGTGAAAAGTTGTACAACATCCTTCCAATCAAAACCCACCATATTCCATTCACTTCAGTAAAGATTGTTCCTGATTGGTCAAATGTTTGAAAAGTTGTTCAACAAATTATGGATGAACTAATTAACATTCACCTTTATGAGTTTACTATAATAGGCTTGATTCTGAGTACCTAAAAGTTCTTCTATTTACTTTTTCACTTTGAAAGCTCTAACAGTAAGATTTACTCTTACGGAATAAACAGTATGAATGGCAATGCTTGAGAAAAGAAAGCTTTGGAAAATGTAGATGAAATTTCAAGAAATATTGAAATTGAGGCTATATATAAAACACATCCATAAAAACTGCTGCAGAGTTGAAGATGTAGATGTAATACATTATATAGAGATGCATAACAATGATATGACATGGCATGAGATCATTTTTGTTTCTTTCTCCTGATATATTTGTGTTTACAGAGGAGGAGATTAGTGCCATGCAGAGTGAGCTGGATAAATATGGTATTCAGATGCCCCAGTTTCACAAGATTGGTGGGATCCTATCTAACGAGGTAAGGACCAACAAGTAGTCTCTGTAACTTTTGTGACGTGAAACCTTCCCCGAAATGTTGAGGATGACCATTGTCACATCAAGAATCTTTCGCTAATTGGAAAAATGAAAATTGATTTGTATCAGTTCTGATTCAGTTATTTAGTCACTGCATGAAACTTTGAAGAATCGGAACCACCACTTGCAAAATTTGCAAATATTCCACCCAGGTGGTAGGATATTAGCTGATGAAGATGAACCCTTTACAATTTCGTGTTCTGATGCTCAAGCTAATTGTTCATTGCTTCACTCCAACTAAAAGAGAGAAAGAAATGATAGCACTTTTGTTGCCGAGTGAGCGGGGTAGGAAGAGAAGAAAAAAGGGGAGGGACCGAGTATCAGAACTTGACGGAAATAGAGTCAGAAGAGGGGGTAATGAGTAGACGAAAACAAGGAGGAAACGGAGGAGAAGGAAAAATTGTAAATCCAGAAATCATATTACTGTGTTTTCTCAATAAAAAATCCTGGAGAGGCAATATTAAATCAAAGATAATTACTTTATGTGTGATATGTATAAGTCAAAAGTATTACAAGACATGTAATTATACAAATAACATTTTGGCAATAATGATTTGGCAAAAGTTGTTGTTTTTATTCAAATGTTCTGTGAAATACCTTGAATTGATCCCTGAAAGACCTTTAATTTCCACATTCAAGGAAGCCAGCCACTGAAAAGGGAAGGAAACCATTTCAGTGGTATTTTAAAAACCACAAATGTGAAATCAATAGGGTATTCATAGCATGTTTTCATGTTTTGTAATTAATCACTTGGTTATATCTAAACCTTGGGATGACTGTTATTTTCCTGGATAATAAAGTAGTGAAATACATGTAGGATAGAAGCATAGCAGATATAAATAAATATGCTGGTATTTCATATGAACGCTTCTTTACACTAAGACTTGATCAAGTTGAAGTTTAAGAGGGAGGTTAGCTTTGTACTTACACAAGTAGATCTGTATTTTACTCATTAAGTTACATCCTAAACCTCATTCTAAGACTTGTTTTATCTGAAAATGAGCGTTGGGTTAACAAAATGAGGATAATACAGGTCTTAAAGTTTACAGGAAGAAACCTCCAATATCATAAACTTAATTACCGGTATAAACTTGACTTTTGGCTGCCTTTTCATGCCACCTAATAAGGACCTTGTATTTATTTATGTTTCTGGATAGCATGCCAAGTTTCTAACCTTCCTTTCTAATGTAAATAACATTTGACATTGATGGCAGAGTTCTGTTCTAGGTGAGGCAATAATTGTTAAATTTTCAAGGATATAGCCAACAGAAAATGTAAAAAGTAACATCAATTTTTAAAGTGGAGGGCAGCTCCTCAAAAAATATCATATAATCTAACAAACTAAGCAAAACTTTCCTCAAATGTTAGGGTGTGGTGCAGGGTGTTTTATCAGTTATTTGTTTCATGCGAATTAACTATACACCCATAGAATGCCAGGTTTTTTTATTTTGTATTATTGTTATTATTATTTTTTAAATTGGTTTCAGAAATATTAATAGCTTTTGGTTCCCTTTAAGGTACATTAGATAAGAGCTGGCTTATTTCCATGTTCTATATTGTAATGAGGGTGACAACAATTAACAAAGCCTGAGTTCATGACAAAATGTTTATATTTGGTTAATGAATGTCACACACCCCTAATTACCTATTGTGTATAAAGTAATAATGAGAGAACAATTGTTCTGCTTCACATACGAATGACCTTCATGTTCTCACGTCAGTAATCACTTGTTATTGTTCCCATGGCAATGGACTGCCTCTGCAGCCAGGCCTGGGCCAGAGTAACGTTATTGATTCAGGCAAATAAGCAACATGATATCATAATAATGATTCTGCTTGATGTTATTCACCTAATAAAGGAGGGTACAAAAGATATTCCTTCCTTTTTTCAGAACTGAAATATGCACCTATTATGACAATGTACACATCTTACATCAATTCTTTTATCAGAGACTTATGACAGCAACATGTATGACATGGGGATGAATTCTCATTTAATTCACTCTTTTACAGTATTATATACATGTCTAGTATTCAGTGCACAATAAGCACTTTTGTTGTGAATGATGATGCCATTGCACCACAAAGCATTGATGTATTGATTGGTTCATATCTAACTGACCTTTCATATTTTTTTGTCTCTCTTTCTCTTTCTTTCTGTCTGTCTCTCTCTCTCTCTCTCTTTCTTACTCTCTTTCTCTCTCCTCTCCCTCTCTTTCTCTCTCTCTTTCTCTTTTACCTCCCTTCTACAGCTCTCAGTCGATGATGCAGCTGGTAAGAAAGTGTGGATTTTTATTGATATTCTCAGTTAATTGAGTGTAATCAACTCTATATCCCATGCACGTTGTCCTACATCACGATACAGAATAGTAAATGGACCATCACCTTGGTTCCTCATACATACTCTAAAGGCCTGTCCTCATCAGATCGAGTTTGCCGCTTCCCGCTATTTGGGAAATAGCTGGCTAATTTGGGCCCGTCCGAGCTAGTTTGTAATGAGTGTATCGGTCTGGTGAAGGTGCAATTTCGAGCTTCGGGATAACAAACCGAGTCTGAAAATAGCGGGTTATTTGGCAAACTCGAGCTGATGAAGACGGGCCTCCTATGGCAGCTGTCAAACCTTCATGTTGTATTTATAGGTCATGGCATTGTGTGAATGAAGCTTATCATGGATTGTCCAGTATAACAATGGTTTCCTGCCCCAGAAAACACTCAATGCATGCATGAAGTCGATTAAAGAACACCTTTTTAATCAAGCTAATGTGGTGCTATTTTTGTACTTATTCCCATAATTAAATACATTAAATGCAAGTATCAGAAGACTGGTTTTATTAGATGATAATAGTGTTTTTGCTGTATTTCTTTTAATAGCATCTGAGGGTGTGTTTTAATAATAATAATAATAATAATAGCCTAATAAGTCCACTCCAAATTTTATTAAACCGAAACGGAAATTCTTTTTGCCCAATTGTTTGTGTTTATTTATTTTTCGTTTTTTATTTTGAAAACATAACTAATTAAAAATTGGTTGCCAATCTCCCCTATATGATCAAATTTTTTTATTTTTCATGCATGTGGATTTGTTTGCCCCTTTGGGATAGCCTGTAACAAGTAGATTTTATGTACCCAAAGACAAAACCTCCTATTTAACTATTTGTTAATGATAAGTAAGCCACATGTACATGATATGGAGTGGTAACATCAGTCAAGTTATCATACATACACCTCTCATGCTATCACTACTGCAACCATTAATTACCCATCTCCTATATGCTGAATGCATGTTTTATGATAAGTGATGAGAGATATGCAAATAATATCATACTGGACAGCAGCTGGTGACGACTCTGATAGCTCTATCTGTTGACTTACAAGTATGCATAGGGTAGAAATAAACCCTGGGGATTTTATATTTGTACATAATTAGCTTGATGAAGAAGAACAGTGCACAGTGCACAGTTTTATATAATTGTCCAGTGATATATATCTTCTTGGTAATAGAACTCATGAATGATTTGAATTAACATTTTATGCCCTTTAAAATAACTTTTACAAAACATTTGTATAGATGCTAACAGCTTTCCATAATTGTTAAGTTCAACTTAGGATCTTTGTGAACGACCCCCCCCCCCCCCCCCCCTGTTAGTGTTGAGCCCAGCTATCAGTTTTACTTTAGATTAATGTTTAAGTTGAAAGTATCTGCAGGGTGCATCCAAAAGAATTTCCAAAACAATATCACCAAGCATTAGGTCATGCAAGCACCTGCGAACGAACGGGCAGGTCATATGACCAGTGAGATTCCATCATTGATAAATAGCAAAATACATCCTATTTCAGTCACCAGAGAGCGAAAGCAATGGTTTAGGTCGAACCTTGGATCAAACCTTGGAAGGTTAATCTCTAGATCTGTCTGCATGCCCCTCTGACGTACTGGAAATTTGGCCACTAAATCAAGAAATGTAGATTTTATACTTGCGTCAGACAGCCAATTACAGAGATAGCTACCCAATTTAGAACTTGGCACTATCTTTAGACACGTGTTTTGTGATGACCTTAGGGTTGTCCAGTTATTTTATGGCCATAAATATGTGTATGTACATGTATTTATTTCTGTTATGAAGGTTCAGAACTGGTACAATCAGTGACTAGTGGGTGTGCGGATGATTTTCTTTTTGTTTTGTTTTACAAAGCTTGACCTGAGCCAGTTTACTCTAAAATCAGAAACTTTGGCATGAATGAAATGTTCATGAATTTCACAAGCGGTTCAAATTAATATAGAAAGTTTCATACCATGAAATAATTGAAACACAGTTGAAAAGAGATTAAATTTTTTGCTATTCGTTTCTTGCTGTGAAAATGGTCATCCTTAATAAATTACAAAGTTTCTTGTTTTGCAGTTTGCGACTGTTTGCCCTCAGAAGAGATATTTTATTCAGAGACGACATCAGCAGTATAGCTCCATTATGAATAGATGTTATTCTTTTCTTTTGTATCAAATGTTTTTATAGCCTGGCATGTTATCGTAGCCATGGTTGCATTGAAGGGTCTGAAATGTACATATAGGTTTTTGCAAAAATACAGATGTACATGTAGACAGGCGCACATATTCAAAATATTAAAAAGTTCAAACAACATAGGTATATTACATTAGAGTTTGGACTTTAGAGTTTTGCTTCTCAATAATATGTGACAATTTTCATCAGAGTAGCCGTGACAACCGGGACTTGAACACGTCAGTACACTTATCACTAACAAACTAGTCTTAATTTTACTAATTGAGTTAATAGATTCTCTCCATCTCTATTACTGTCCTCGTCTTTTCTCTCTCTAGCTTTTGCTCACTCCCTCTTTTCCTGTCCCACCTTTCTCCTTCTCCTTTGCTCATTCCCTTGCCCCCCCCCCCCCCCTCTCTCTCTCTCTTTCTTTCTCTTCCCCCTCTCTCTCTCTCTCTGTTCCTCTATCCACCGTTCGGTACTAGTTTATTACCTTTCCCCCTTGTTGTCTTTGTATACATGCTTGCATTTTCCTCTTCCCCTTCCCCTTTTCTCTTTTGTTGCTAAATTTCTCACACACCTTATTCTATTTTGATCTGCCCCTATTTCTCAATTTCTGTCTCTATCTGGCATCTTTATGCACCTTTTTCTTTCCACATGTACTTTCCCCTCTCTTTTTCACTCTCCCTCCTCTCTTTCTTTCTCCTCCCTCCATCCCCCTCCCCTTTCCCCTCTCCCCCTCTCCCTCTCTCCCTCTCCCCCTCTCCCCCTCTCGCTCTCTTTCTCTCTCTCCCCTTTCTCTCTCTCCCCTTTACTCTCTCACCTCTCTAATTGTATTGAATGTCTTAGGGGAGGGCGAGCATGAGAAGGAAATAAGAGGAAATTGAGTGGATGTTAAGGTCGGGGTCCTACGGTAGCTGATAGAATTACTACCCATTAACACCTCTGTGTGAGCGACTGTACCTGCAAATTGCTTTATATGGTAGTCTGAAAGTTAAGTTCATTACATTGTCAGCTTGTAGGAGAATTGATATGGATTGCTCACAAATTGTGAAATACAACTTGTAAATGATATGTGCATAGAACAGAGCAGGCAGTGTCATTCAAATATTCCCTCCATGTTGTATTCAGAAGCATAAATGCTACTTGATAAGATTCAATAAAGCTCTCAAAAGTAAAGCCTCACCTCCTTACAATGATACAGCTACTACTCCTACTTGCTTCTACTCCTACATGTTCTACATATACTAATACAACTACTACTACCACCACTACTACTACTACTACCACCACTACTACAACTACTAGTACCACCACAACTACTACTACTACCACCACTACTACTACCACCACTACCACCACTACCACCACTACTACTACTTCTACCACTACTACCACCACTACTACTACTACCACTACTACTACTACTACTACTACTACCACTACTACCACCACTACCACCACTACCACCACTACTACTACTACCACCACCACTACTACCACCACCACCACTACCCCCACCACCACTACCCCCACCACCACTTCCACTATTTCCACTACCACTACTACTGCTGCTGTTACTGCTGCTGCTACTACATCTACTACTACTACTACTACTACTACTACTACTACTACTACTACTACTACTACTACTACTACTACTACTCCTCCTACTCCTACTCCTACTCCTACTCCTGCTCCTGCTCCTGCTCCTGCTCCTGCTCCTGCCCGTGCTACTCCTATTCTTACTACTGCTAATTCTCCTATGCCTGTACACATGACTTAACTTACAAAAGAAGAACATGTCCAAATGTACAACAGTAGAAAATATGTTTAATATTAAATAAAATATACAAAACTAGAAACTATGTGTAATAAAAACATTTTGCTTACATCATACCACTTTTCACCTTTGCACAGAGTTTGAAACTGGATCAAGTATCAAGCCACCTTCCCTTTCATTGTGCATATACATTTACACTACTTAGCTTCCTGTCATGTTCTCTAGTTTTCCTAAGATCATTTTGTGAAACCTAGATATATCATCAGTTATATCCCTGACGTAAACAGAAACAGGATTTCAAGATTTCTTATCAACAGAATAATGAATTTATTGAAAATCAAATTATCTTAGTAGAAAACACATCCCCCAAACTTTAGTTTAGTATCAAGATCTTTGAGATGGTACTGAAACCACATATTAAACAAAACCTTGCAAATCCTGCTTTGAAGAAAGTTAGCAACAATCTTAAGCCATTCACAGACAAAACGATGTAGAGCCCCTGGTTATGTCTCCGACATTGATCAATCTGATCTTCGGGTGGATGTGGAAAAAAAAGAGAGAGAGGGGAACAAAATCAGATAGAGGGAGAGATATTTTGTTGGCAGTGTCTTGCCCCCTGTGCGGCAGTCAGGCAGGCAGAGCAGTGATTTCTTGACAACGATGATGTCATGCAGCCAGGAAGGGTATGAGGTGGGCTGATAAACCAGGCAAGGGGAAGTCGCCAGGCTGGTGTGAGGGGGGTTGAGAGAAGGGTATGAGGTGGGCTGATAAACCAGGCAAGGGGAAGTCGCCAGGCTGGTGTGAGGGGGGTTGAGAGAGGAGGATTATAAAGTGTTAAGAGAGCCCCTGGGAAAGTGATCCAAAGAGGACAATTGTAAACTGCTTCTGATCTGCTAGGTTGAATCTGTCCCGTAGTGTAGAGAAGTTGTAAAGAGTTCATGTAGTTTGGAAAAAGAGATAGTTATGATAATGTCCTCAGAGAGGCTAAAGGTTCAAGTGCGCTTATGATCAAAGGACAATTCAATCTGGTCTTAGAGCAATATGACAGGTGTATGTAAAAATGCAAACATGAAATATGGAAAGGAAAACAACCATGTGTCAATTTTAAGAGGCACTATCAAAGCGATTCCAACTGTTAATCTTTTTAGCACCAAACAATAGTTGCGCTAATGCTTCCTGAACATCTTGGAACTCCCTTTTAAACTTACATCTGCTTTTACAAGCAAAACTGTGTTGTTTGGTGTGACGATGTGTTACATGTTACCTTTGGTTTTTTGGGGGATTCCCCAATTAGATACTGTATATTACATGCGTAAAAAAAAGGTGTGCAACACTTGAAAGTGTAAAATAATTTTAGAAAATAGTGACCAATTACCCATTTTCCATTTGTTTAAAATGTGCCATTGCTTGTATACCTGTGCTAATCAGTGATTTACATATAAACATAGTTATAAATATTTATGTTTTCATTTATATCTGCAGTTCATGCTGCCGTGATCGCCATCAACACGGCAATCGACAAGCAGGTTCCCTCCGACACGATGTCGGCTCTCAGGAATCCTAACACTCTGTTGGTGAACATACAGGAAGATAACCAAGATTCATACCAAGACTGTCTGTATGAGGCCAAGCTAGCTAAGGCACAAATCGCACTCAACAAGGTATTTTTGTTTCTGTATTACTTTTATGTACGATGAAACCTGTCTATAAAGACCAACCAAGGGAGATGAGAAAGTAGACTTTATAGGCAGGTGGTCTTTATGTACAGGTTCCTTTAGTACATGTTTCAATGAGAAACAATGTTCAAGGGAAACAAAAAATGTGGTCTCTGTAGACAGGTGGTTGCTGAAGCAGGCTTGACTGTATTTGTAATTGGGAATGAAATAACACACGTACCTGTAGGAGTAGCACACTCAGGGAAAATCCCTCCCCAAAACACCCCCTTAATAAACACAGACAAAGATAACCAAGAGTCTTTAAGAGGCCAAGCTTGCTATTAAAGGCACAGTTGCTCATATACTTTATTATTGATTTTTTTGTATTTCAACATTTGAGGATGATACAAAAAAACACCTAAGGTACCCCCCTTTGAGTTAATCAGTATACTAGAAGTCGTTAAAAAAACTACAACCTATTTCTTAAACGCTCTGCCTATTAATAAAGCAATACAAATATATACAAAGAGACAGTTGTAGAATATGTTAAAGTTAATACAAAGTTTTGGTATGGGGTCATGAATTTGGTTCAAATGAACATATTGGAAGCAGATGCGATCCTACAATATTCAGTGATCGTTGTCGCGGTTGAAATCGAGTCTAAAGTTATGAAATTGTGAATAATAAACTATTCATGTTGTATAGCTCCCTCTCAAGGTCAATATATTAATTTAGCTATAAAACAATGTGTCTTGTTTGAAATCGACCAATTTTCTATTCCCGTTTGGAAATTATACATCAGAACTACATATTCTGAGATTTTCATGGTCGCAGCTCAAACATGGAATGGCCTTAGGCGCTATTTCAAATGTTTGAAATTTATCGAAGCACTGGTAAATTTTTATATTCAATTTTTCTCAAAAGCAGAAGCGTTTTAGGGGCTAAATTTTCTAGTGCTTATAATACATCCACATGGGCATCAAAATATATCAAAATTGTAAAAAATCACTATCCACCCAATTTTCAAAAATTCCCAAAACTTTGTACTACCTTTAATAGATTATGTGACAAGTACTAGCTGCGTAATAGAATAAAGACCAGTATCAATGCCTTGTAAAATGTAATCCCAATCTATTAAATAATCATATCACTACCATCTGCCCAGCAGCTAAATCTTATTGTCTAGTTTTATTGCCAAGTGGAACACTTTATTGACAGATACATTAGCCTCGTATTCCTGATATGGCTGGAAACAAAAGAAAAGAAAAGAGATCAGGCACAGATTTCCCTTTCAATAAAAATGTATATCTAGGTATATCTAGGTCAATACAATTCTTTTCTGCACCTCAATAACCAATTAGAGATGATTTGAGATATATTTATTAATTTAGATAAACATCTCATCCTTCTATAAACATTAGACAATATTTGTGTATTTCTATTGAATATGTATTACATTTTATTGTTTCCTTTCCTCTATTGATTTGATGCAGGCCTCTATAAAGGTACATTGGTTGAGGTTCAGGAAAAGTTTACTTTTATCATTTGTCAGATGATATCTATGATAATGTTATGTTTTGTTTTGTTTCTTTATTTGGAGATTTGAGGGAAATATATTTTAGTTCTGAGGCACCAGATTTGGCAAAGTTATTTATTGTTATTGAAGTAATAAAGTATATGGGGATTTATGTTGAATTAGTTTGTAAAAGTTATGTAGTGTTATGAGAGGTCCATGGGTCTTATTATGATTATCTCCAAAAAAATTATAACATTGATTGATTTTCTATATTTTCTATGATTTCCCAGATTATTCATCTTTACTACTGTTCCACAATTTGTTTTTCCAATTAGCATTTAATCTAAAATAGTCTCTTTTTTATAGGAAATTTAATTTATTCATTTTCTGTTGGGACTGTTTGTATGTGAGCTTGGGTTTGATATGTTTCTGTTATAGTCTGTAGAGGAGGGCACTAATAATTATTTTCTTTAGCTTAAATGATCATTATATGCAAGTTTGGGGTATTTATATGTATTCTTTTTTTTTATTTCACAGAGGTTTTGTATAATATTACTTGATATACATCAGAATATGTGAGTGTTTTGTCCAAAAAGATGATACAAAGAGATACCAACCCTCCTGATTTCACCAGGAGGCTCTCGGGGAAATCACCCAACTCCTGTTCTCTCGGAAGACTAAATTCAAGAGTTGGCAACTCAAATTAAGATACGAAGAAAGTAAAGATGATGTATTTAATTAGGGAAGGAGGGGGCAAAGAATATGATGAGAAGAAGTGAGGAACTAATGAAGAGAAATTAAACTGTAGAACAGGAGGAATAAGAAAAAGATAAATGTCTTTCGTTCCGTGATGTTAAAAGTTTTTTTTAATCAATAAAAGTGTACTTGCAGAGAATATAAAGACCTTTTCACAAGTAAAACACTTATAAATGTATACACACAAATTGGCTAAAAACTTTCAGGTTTACAAATTTTGATCATGTCTCCCATGAAAACTTGATGAAAGAAAGAATGCTCATCACCTTAAATCCTCTCTTGTCTCTACTGTTCCAGTCCACTATAGAAGCAGAAGAGGATATGGATGCCTATGATATGCTGCTTACACAGGCAGAGATACAAGGAAACCTCAACAAAGTCAACCGTAAGTCCCAAATCATGAATTTTTGTATGTTTTGATTAAATTGCATGTATATCTAGATTAAGTTTATTAAAGATAAAGACCAGTTATGGTCATGCAATTGCATTGTGAAAGAAACATTGTGGAATCGATCAGAAAAGGTTGATCATCTAGCATATAGTATTGGTGTGTACTGCAAGGTTCTGGAATCATCAAAATGATAAGAAATATGGCCCAGTCTTCGTAAAGTTACAAGCACTGTACACAGAAAGATGTATATGGGACTATACGTATACGTGCACGACACGTGCGTTTATCTCTCACAGACCATGTAGATCAACTAATTTACCAAATATATCAATTAGTAGGCGGTTTCCCTGCAAAATTGTTATCATCATGTATTAGTCAAAACATATTCTTTCACATGATTGGTAATAAGAACTTCCATTTCATTTTTTTGAAATTGGGGCGTTTCCAATACTGGTCTTTACCTTTAAGTTTATTAACTTGATTGATGTAGGTAACTCAAACAATACAGAAAAATAGAACTGAAAAATAAGTTTTTCCCCCTTTAGAATGTTTCTTAGTCCTTGCCCTTCATGTCGAACACTAGAACTTGTTTGCCAAGTTTAATATTGTAAGTCCCATTTTCCCCCTAATTGATACATTGTTTTGGGGTTCCAAAGTTTGTGGTTAACTGTAGTTGAGTCATTCCATATTTGTGATTATGTTGACATTGTTGTATATACATTAACATACTTTGCCAATGTTTGAGGTGTCAAGTAGAGCATTATCAACTTCACATTGTCCAAGAAAAATAGCTCTTTACCAACAAATAAAAACAAGAGCACGTAACGCCCTCTTGGGTAGACACTGTAAATGATGATTGACATGGTTTTCCACCATTTCTTCCCCATCTCTCGGCCAAGTTGGATCTTTCGCAATTTGTGATGACATCATGGCTTGAGGGTTATCCCACCAAGGGATTCATAGTTTGAGGAAAACAAAACAGAGAGAGGATTAGCAACCAGCTTTTAAAAAAAATAAAACACTTTTATACGCCACCATATCAAAAGATTTGAATGTACCGTAGCTTAGTAGAAGATGTGTTTAGGTGAATCCATTGACTGTTATGTGCAACATATATCTTTTTTTTAAATCTCTAATTGAAAATTAATTTGATAATACATACAGTCGGTAGAATAGTAAGGTCCCAATGTCCTGTACGATGATGTTATGTACATGCAATCAACAACCACCAGTAATATTTATCAATGAAGTGGGCTCCACATGTTTCAAAGGTCTATAAAAAGAGGCCTGAGCATGTAGACTTTCCTGAGGTTTTAATGGGTCTCATTATTCAAATATATGGAGGTATTATCTGAAAGTAGGCAAGTAATGACATTAATTATAGCCAAGTGGTTGATAGTACTGATAAATCATGCTGTCATGATGTATCCACAACTTAATACATTCTCACATCAATTCATATTTCAGTATAGGATTAGAGCAAGATTGTAAACTAATATCTGATGCTTTTTAAATAGAAAAAACTCAAAGAAATTAAAACAAAGATTGACTAATATACAGTAGGCTTGCGATTCCCCAATCCTTCCCCTCTCTCACATGGTGCAACCGCAAGCCTACTGTATATCTACATCACCATGCAAGCCGATATTTATAAGCAGCATCCAAAGATTGACTATTTCAAAAGTTTTACACAATGAAATTCTAGAAAGGGGGATTCGGTAGCCATTTTCCTGCCTGCCAGCATTTGGCAATGTTTTTATGAAGAATCTGCATCTCTGTTGACCCAAATTCCTAATTGCTGATAAACTCAATCTAGATTTAGAGATAAGTCATTACATTGACGTTGCGAACCAACTTTTGTAAGGATCACGTCCAGGATATGGTTGAGATACATGTCTGACATTAATTAACCAATCAAGGTAGTTAACACTTATCTGGAACAAGACTGAATACGCAAATAAAGAGTTTTAAATTATGATGCTCATGTGTATTGCAAGTTGGTTTATGTTAAGGATTTGGACGATAATTAGCATCAGACCTAAGGTATACTGACCTTGCAGTCAGCTTTGCATAATCATGTCCATGATTCGGTGGTTTAGTAGCCGTCTGACGTTGCTCAATCCCAGGCTAGTGACCTTAGAGATAGATTAGAGCTTCTCTCTACACCCTGGGATTCTACGGTGTGGGTTACAGGAAACAGACTGTCGCTTTAAGGCCTTGCTTGGCTCATAGTCAACTCCCCCCCCCCCCCCCCCCTGCCCCCCTTCCCCTGCTCCTTCCCGGCATACTCAGGAAGTATTCCCCTTGAGGGGTGCGCCCTTTATAGCCAATAATAGCTTGAAAGTGAGCTTTCTTTGGCATGGCATTACATGTGAAATATGTCAACAGTGAAAAGTTATAGTTATGGGCTGTGGTCATTCATCATATACACAGTTTTACGTTTACCTTGATATAGGTAAGTAAACAGAGTTGTACAAATGGAGTGTGTAAAGATTTATACAAGTTCACATTTATAGTGTGATTGTGCTATGAGAGAAGGTTGAGTTCTGGGAAGACGTGACAAATAATTTGTGAGTGTTATCATCGTTATCATGCAAGTGTGAAAGAACATCAGATAAAACATGTCTCTGAAAAGCATGGCTCTTCATATGCCTTCATATTCCAAATATGACAATGTGACAGCACAAAAATTGGGACAGATTTTTATGCCACATGTTCGTGTAGTCCCATAGTCATCTTTCTGTGTACAGTGCTTTTAACTTTACGAAGACTGGGCCAATTTTGTTATCATTTTGATGATTCCAGAACCTTGCAGTACACACCAGTACTTTTATGCTAGATGATAAACCTTTTCTGACTGATTCCACACCGTTTCGTTTATTATGCAATCGCATGACCAGAACTCAACTTATTCTTTAAGACAGGAGTTATGTCAGTATATCTCAAAGACTGTACACTCTACTGTCAGTGTTTTCACTATTTTCAAAATTTCAGTGAACACACAAATAGACAAGGTGAACGACCTATTAGGGACCCAGAATGCCTCTGAGCTGGTGGAAGCGCTGATGAACGCAAGCCTAGGGCTCAAGGATGTCACTAGGGAGAATGCAGACTGGTACCTTAGAATTCTTCAACAGGCTAGACAAGACAAGGCAGAGGTAAGGGAAAGAAATGAGAACATTCACTATTCTGCTTATAAGAGGTTATTTGTAGTGGTTGTTTTTGTTTGTTTGTTTTTTTGAAAATATGTTTGTGCCTCAAGGCTAATTGAACTAAATATTTTTTTTTCAGAGAGAAATATTCTTACTTTATGATGATTACAAATAAATATCCAGACAGTCAGAGAACTATTTAAATTCATAAATTTCAATGAAGTGCTTGTTTATGTATTCTATTTTGTTCACATTTCAAAAGAAATAGCATCAAACAAATCAACGTATTTAAAAAAAAGACAAGGTTCATATTTCTTATAATGTCCAACAAGGCTTAACATGTATCGTGAAAAGGACTATTTTAGTAAGCATTTGGTTGATGTGTTTTTGGTTCAACTAAGTTGTTTATGATGCTCAGAAGCCCATTTTAGGCACTTTTCCAAGTATTTTGTTCCCATCGTCCATTTAAATCAAGTACAGATAATGACAAACCAGCATAGGTGCGCATTCAAGCAATGTCAGGCAAATATTGAGGGAGTTTTGCCCAACCTTTTTTATCAGCTTGGTCGTCAAGACATAGATTTACCTGGTTACCTGGCCTGCCCATATGGTAGAGCTTGAATGAAAAACACTTTCAGGAAGTTTGAACTATCATTGAGCGGTGTGATTGTCAAAATAATGATAATGGCCCGATTGCCAATCGTCAGGAAGCGAGTGTAACCCGTGATATATACATGTATAGACTAGATTAGCTTCATGTGCATTGTGATAGCAGGGATAACGTTCCTAGATACAGATAGGAGTAGATCTAGGCTTGTAGGAAGATGGTGGTGAAAATGGTTGTGGAAGTGACTGTGTTGGTCGCGTTGGGAAGTGTAGTGGTGGTGTTGATACCATTGTTGCTGCCAGTGTTGTTCTTGTTACTGCTACAACAGGTGAGTTCAGTGGCATGCATGCATTGAGGGTATCTACTACATTATCTGATCATAATGATACAAGTCATGTAGTATACTAGTATTGCAGACTCTGTTGTATTTTGATACTGGAATTGATACTCAAATTTGTACTCAAATGTAATTTGTTTTCATTATCAAGTGTTTTCATATTTTTGGTTTTAACATTTCTAGTTTTGAGATGTCAGAAGCTAATGTTTACCAGTTAAACAAGATGTGATTCATTTAGAAGCAATCTTTACTTGACAATCTTATCTTTATTACAAGAATGTCTTCAGCAAAGTCTTATATATAATAATATAATAATAATAATAGCCTAATAGTCCACTCCAAATTTTATTAAACCGAAACGGAAATTCTTTTTGCCCAATTGATCGTGAGCTGGTTTAAGATCAATTAACACCTCCGATGTATAGCGATTGCTGCATATTTGAACCAGCATTTTGTTGACATCATTAACACATGTCAACATGTTTGAACAATTATCATCTCTTGGATTTAAAGTGTTATTAGTTTGACGTATTCTTGTTTCACTGTTTAAATCGGTTTGAAAGAACATGTAAATCACATGGGTAAACATTTTAACAATGAGTGCACCAGGCTCTAATTTGTTTCATGAAGAAAAAAAATGTGAAATTTAGTCTCAAGACTTTATTCAGCACCCAAAATCTTTGGCTGGATTTGCTGCCAAAGACATGACAAGAGTTAAAGATGAGCATTGTATGTTCTTCTGGATTGTTTGCCTTGTAAAGTTAGTTCTATATGATTAAAGGGTTATCTGATGAATTTATTTTTATCTTTAGGCTACTGGAAATGAGTACCCTAGATTGGAGAAGGAGGAGGTACAAGCCGGCATCAATGCAGCTAACATACTAGCCAAGGAAGACAAAGATGGTAAGCTTATGTGGTCCATGAAAAATGGAATATCAGATCAATCATATGATAATATAACTGAAATATAAGTTTTTTAGCAAAATTTAATCTGGATCAAATTGATGATACTCTTACAATCTGTAAATAAACATTTTATGTCACTTTGTGTTTTAATCAAATGCGTAAAAAGGGCAAAAGTTTGCTGCAATGTCTTACAACAATTTAAAGTCACATCTCTGTATGTCTCTGTGTATAAGCTGCTTGGATATATACAGAGATGGTTTTGGCCAATTGTTAAGCTCTATCTAGACCAGAAGCTTTACTTTTATATTGACATCTTTATTGTCATGCACTTTACTAAACACACCTAATATTTTGATGAAATATGATGGTGCTAAACAAGCTTTATGTGTGTGTACCTTTCACAGTGGGTAAGGCGGTGCAGAACATCAACTCATTAATAGACGACGGCACACCAGAGCAGCTTGTAGCAGCTCTATCCAGACCCCAGGCACAGCTTCCACATGTACATCCATACAGCCATGCGCTCTACAAAACAGAACTAGCAAGACTCAAGATCAGCAATGAAGGGGTATGTTACTTTAGAAACACAAACATTTTATTTCTAACTCTTAACAAAAATCTTTGGTACAACAATATACCTACATGTAACCCTAAACATGACCTAAAACCAAATCACAACCCAAGCCCTATAGTATTTTTGATGAATGATAATATTCCGCTCTTGAATAGCACATATTAAATTATGATATAACATCTCTGTGTGCTTCCGAAGAGCCGTGGGAATGATTACCCCAGCTTAAGCTTCAGTAAACATCTCAAGAGTATAATGCCATTTCTAGTAATATCCTACCTGGGAATTGTTTCACAAAGACTAAGATCTACTTTATGTTGGACTTAACTATGGCAGGCTGTTCATGCCGCCGTTTTCTCTCACCATTTACTGGCATTTGTCTCTTGAGGGACGTACAAATCATGGTCACAAATCTACAGAAGTACATTTTTTAAGACTTTATTATTGAAGGAAAAAATATTTTCTAAAGAACATAATGGTGAGAGCAACTAGTGGCGTGAACAGCCTGCCATAGTTAATTCAAACTTAAAGTTGATCTTAGTCTTTGTGAAACAACCCCCAGGTACACATGTACCTCACCTGGGTAGAGTGTAGCAGATGTAGACTAATGCCTTGCCGAAGGATGTTAGTGCTGCGCCAGGGATAGAAATAAAGCCCGAGGCAAATGTCACTGGAGCAAATGTCAGACCACCATTCTTTGATATTGAGGAAGGAAGGAAGTACTGGAAGAAATAAAGTTTATACGAGTAGAAAAGACATTGAGAAACTTCTCTGTTGAGACCATGTTGCATTGGTCGTTTCACTTCCAGGATATTTTAAGACATATGTACACGTAGGTCATCTTTTGTGTCCATATCCTTAAAAAGTACAAAGTTTTTGATATATTGAACTTTCAAAGTCTGGAAGTTTAATCTTGTTAGAAAAGACTAAGGAGTATTACAGATACACTGAATATTGTGACATTTAGTGATAAACTTTTTATTTTTTTTCTTCTTATTGCTATTTAGGACTTGAACCATGAGCAATTGCAAGATGCTGTCAAAGGTATGTGTATTTTTGCTATTGACCAGTAATAAAATGCAAAATGTTGTAGTCTTTCCTTTAATTGGTTTCAAAGTGTTCAAAAGGTTCCTACCTTCCTTCACTCTTTGATATATATATTCTTCCCTTCCATTTTTGTCTCCTCCTTGCTTTCTTTTCATCCTCTCTCTCTCTCTCTCTCTCTCTCTCTCTCTCTCTATGTCTCCGTCTCTCTCTGTCTCTCTCTCTCTTTCTTTCTTTCCCTCTCTCTCTCTGTTTCTCTCTTGTATAACTCTTTCAGTCAGTATAACACTTTTTCTTTGCCATCCTCTTTTCATGCATTCATCTACGGTACATTTAAGCACCAGTATTATTTGTTTGGAGCCAAAAAGATGTTAACTCTATATTAAAGTTATCAGTTAATGCCCTTCTGGCTCCAAACAGACAATTTATTGGTTATTATCTCTGTTGATATTTGCATGTAGAAGTGTTCTGTTCGACATTTTCCAGTGCTACTGTGGTTAGGCATGCCTCAACGTGCCTGGCTTACACCTTGTTTTATTTTGATTCTAGAGTCTAGCCCACTGTGACTCTGAGCTTTATCCCTCGTTGAACAAATAGTTTCCACAACCGAACCTTTTCCTTCCAAGTTTCATTCAGGAAATCCCTCCCAATCTCTTCAATATTGACCAATACCTTAGCTACCATGCAATTACCTCTTTTTAAATACACAAACGGCAAACCCTCCTAGTCTCGTTTGCAGGTGTAACCAGTGTGTTTAGACCATTATTTACCTATGCATGATGTTGTGATTGTTTGCATTGGGTCTGTGTTTGCAGACTAATGAAGGAAATGGGTAATAAAGAGAGAGGAAGAATGGTAGCAGGTATTGGGTGTTGAGTGGATTAAGCAGAGGAGGAAAGGGAGGGGATGAGCGCACCCCTGCCAAGGAATCAGTGTCGGTAAACTGTCTTTAAAGGGGGGCAACTCCCATCTCAAATTAATACTTCTGTACTTTAAAATGATGTTAAAGAGGCAGAATAAGCAATTAAGCAGAGGGTCAACATATGAACCAACAAAACCATCTTAGATCTAGTGATGGGACAAGTTGACATTCTTAATCCATCACAGACAGAGCCCAAGATAAATCTGGATTAATTAATTTAACCTGTTGACTGCTGATTTCTCTTAGTTCTATAGGCTTGATACAGGAACCACTCACTTCCCATAGGCGATGGGTTAAGATCCATGTTATAGGATACATAATCCATTTTCAACTGTTCAGTTAACAATTGAATGATATATCTCTGTAGGTTAAAATAATCTCAAATTGTAACCTTCAATCCTCTCCATCTAAAGGAAGCAGATTTATTTTAGCTCCAACTCGGTCCTCAGTTATTTTATGTGAACACACAATCAATACATGAACTTGATTATAGTGAAAGGAAATTCAATTGCTTGCTCACCATTCAATTAGACTTTGTTAACAATTTACTCTCCAACCCTTCCTGTTTCTAGGATTATATTTGTGTGAGTCACCAAGGAGTAGAGTCAACCAGATAGAGATGGCAAATCCTTGCACTTTCCTAATCCTCCCTATTCTTTTACTTTCCTAATCCACATTATTTGTTGTTGCCTCATCTAATCTCTTAATGTTCAGGGAGTATTCTGTATAATGTTTGTTTCCTTTTGTAAAAGTTTCATACTTTATGTTCAAATGAGAGGGGTGGGGGGTGTACACAAAATATATCTGTGTATGAATTATGAAGGAGCAGATGGAAATATGTTTTGGAAACACTCCAAGAAGAGGGGAAGTTCTGCAATGGGATATGACAAAGTGTGTTTCCATAGCAACACAAGCCGTTGAATTATGATTCCTACTACCCCGTTCCAATCTACCCTCTTTCCAAACCCAACTTTCTGATATGATATATAACACCAAGAGCCACCCTTATTTATTTATTTTTTTTTTAAAGTGCCAAGCAAATCGTATTGTCACTGTGAACATTATGGGTAGCCTAGCATGAAATATTCAGTCTAAGCTAAGTTCCCATGTCTTCTATACAAAGAGTATGGTTATTTTTTAGAGACTCTCTACAAAAAGGCAAAGAGAAGCACACATGCTGTGACTATCAATTGGCTCTATGCCAAAATGGGTACCTGGCAGGAATTAGGTCTTTGAAATGCTAGAGTGCCGTAATGGCAGCACAGCTAAAGCCGGGTAATGATCTCCAAGTTTGGAAACGCTTAGTGATCGTAATAAGCGCTATATAAAAACTGAGTATTATTTTATTATTATTATTATAAATCATATCACCAAAGACTATAACTAATAATATTCAGTACCAAACTCATTTTAACAATGATATCAAGATATCAAAGTATGAAGCAAAGTGATTACTCAAAGCCTCAGCCTCAACCTTTATCAATGATATCAATATTTTGGGGAAAATTTTATTTTTAAGAAACCTGACGATTTGTTAGTCCAGGACAGTATACATGTAGATATGTGCTTGTGTGTTTTATTATGTGAATACATAGCCATTTATAACAGTTTAATTCAGGGACAGGTTTTTTTTCTTAAGCTCAAGGCCTATAAAATTCCTAGAGAACGAATGTAGCAACCTACACATTTACAATAAATTTTCCCAAAATACTGCACAAGCACTCAGATTTTTTGCCTACATCTGCATTTTGTTCTAGTAATATTTATAGCACACCCCCACACCATATGACATTATTCATGCCCTTTCCCCTCTCCTTACTCTGCTACCCTTTGGTAACCATGACAACCCATGTTCCTGATGTTGATTATCCTTCTCCTCTTTACGTTGGTATTGACAAGGAATGTATCCCCGGAGGTGTAGGTTGGAAATGAGGAGAGGAAATAATTCATCATGGAGGTTAAATGATAGCCCCCTCTCATGTGACTTGTGAGTCAGGAATGACATTAATACTGTATGTCATCTCATGAGAGCTAGAAGGGCATTAACTCATATACTTTAACACAGAGATAACCACCTTCTGGATCTCAACAGACGATATGAGTGTTATGAGGGTCTTTTTATTTGTCATTCTATGATAGTTCATGTACTAGATTATAGCACCGGATAGTAAAATTTGTTAATTCATGTTTTATTCAGAAAATTTAATGATTCTACTATTTGAATTGTGACAAATAGCTGACACTCTAGATGCAAATAGATTTTGAACGTAGCCATTTAGAACAGGTATGATTATATGTTGGTTTCGTTTCTCCGCCCCCCCCCCCCATCCTACTCTCCTTACAGTACTTTCAGGTGTAGCTATGGTAAACCAAAGCCTAGACAATGATACAGCAGAACCATGTTTACATGCTTAGCTAATGTAGAACAACACAGAATATTCTGAATATATTTCATATTGTCATGAAATAAACATAAACAAGTATTTCTCAACGTGCTTCCCTTACAGTTTTGTCAACCATAGCTATGATCATCCAGAGTGAGGCTTCTGTGGGGTGTTTCACAAAGATCCCAAGTCAAACTTAACTCTAAGTTGGACTTAAAAGTTATGGAGAGCCAATTGTAGTCTCAAAATAAAATATATTCAAAAGCGAAAATCAAGTATTTTATACTTTTTATAAATACCACATCAAGAATATAAAATCTCCTTGATTATAGAAAATATGAATGATTTGAATCAACATTTTATGCCTTTTAAAATAACTTTAAAAAAATATTTTCATAGATGCTAATGGCTTTCCATAACTGTTAAGTCCAACTTGGATATAAGTTCAACTTAAGGTCTTTGTGAAACACTCCCCCCCCCCCCCCCCCCCCCCCCCCCCTCCTGATCAGTCTGACAAGACCGCAGACCTCTGGCTACACCAAAGTGCTTTCTTGGTAGATAGAGAACAACATGCATAATTCTGAATATATTTTAAACTGTTGTCAAATGAATTTTCCTTGTTTCTCATCCTCCTTCCCCTCCAGTTCTGTCAGCCGTCGCCATGATAAACCAGAGTGTCGATTCCGGTCAGTTCAGTAAGACAGCTGAGCTCCTACTCCAGCAGGATGCTTGCTTGGCTGACGTAGAGCAGGATAGCTCTTACCATCAGAGGTACCAGGATCAGCTACTTGCTATCAAGAGAGCTAAAGCGAAGGTTTGTTCAGAGAAACTTTCTCTTTTCAACTGTATATTAAATTAAACATGTCCATGAGAATGTTCCAATCCTTGTCAACAGAGAAGTAGCAAATGTCACAGTAAATGGAAAAACATTGTCATCCTGTTCACATTTTAGATGTAGAAGAAAGTTTTAATGTTATTACCTTAGATCTGCCCTGTAAAGACATGACTTGGTGTTCAAAAGTTACAGAGTATTATAGTAAAGTAACATTATTCTTGTATGTATGTGGAGGTTAAATGAGATTCATGAGTTCATTATCTTCTCCATTTTTGTGCAGTAATCCTCTTGTAGATTAATAAGTTTGCAGCTCTTGAAAAATATGGGTTATTGCAATTATTCCTTTTCATTGGGAGCAATCTTATACTTCAGTCACACGGCCAATTGACCCTAAATTGACCTTAAACTGACCAAACTAACTCCAAACTCAACCCAAACTCACCTCAAAATGACCCCAAACTGACCCCAAACTGACTGATTCTTTGCCATTAGGGGTAGTGTAATATTTTTTTAATCCAGTGTCAGCATAACCATATAGTTTGAAAGTTCATTTGGGAGGGCTTACTGCAAGCAAGCAAGCAGATTGATAACATTTTAGTTCCTGAATCAAACATTGCTTCTGTTTTGATTGGCATGCACACACAGGAAGGAGAAGATTTCTTGACGCAAGAAGAGATTCAGGAGGTAGTAGACGCAGTCAACCAAGAAATACAGGATGAACATCAACGTAAGTATATTGTTTCCATAACAACATCAACATTATGGGAAATTACAAAACATTCATTGTGCCACTTCATACCAGGTGGCACTACTGAAATTACAGCTCGTCCTGTATAGGAATATGCATATAATTTCAGTTTTATGAAATAAAATTTGCTGGATATTGAAATGAAATTTAAGGTAGAAAAGAGAAAGACAAATTTATGAGATATAATGTAAGCATCGATAAATAAACCGATAGATGTCAGTTTTCTGGTTCTTGCCTTATTCCAGGGCCTGTCGTTCTGTTTTGAGGAGTTCTCAAACCAACCTGTATCACCGTAAACTTTTCATATTTTTTATATTTTATTGTTGAAGTATATTTAGATTTCCATACACTCTTCTTGCACAGAGATGATACAGTCAAATCTGCTTTAGTGACCACCTGTATAGAAAGACCACCTGTCTACATAGACCACAATGTCTTGTTTACCTTGAAAATGGTTTCTCATTGAAACATGTATTAAAGGAACCTGTACATAAAGACCACCTGCCTATAAAGTCCACTTTTCTTGTCTCCCTTTGGTGGTCTGTATAGACGGGTTTCACTGTTCCAACATTTTCACATTGTTCCGCCCTCCTTTCCTCAGGTATAATGGCCGTAGCAGCGATCAATGAAGCCATCGATAGTGAGGATCCAGCACATACCTTGAAGGCTCTTCAGATGCCTGCAGCTAAGCTCAGAGAGGTTGAGGAACCCAACACTGTTCTCTATCAGAGAGTCCTACATGCTGAGAAAGAGAGAAAAGGAAAGGTAAATGACATCAAATGGCAGGCTTGATTTTTAGCCTTCAAGAAATGAGGCATTAATAGGTGATCCTTTACCACAGATATGTGGTATTATATTTTGTGGAAATTTGTATAAGTAAGGTTAACTAAAAAAAAAATTAAATTGGGATAAAGCTGTAGTGGAGTAAAAAAATAATTGCCATTTTTCCTGCAAGATATTTCTACAAATTGCAAGGAATACAGTGTTGTGTCATTTGAGATTTAGTTATGTCCCATATTTTTGTTTCTAGGAAAAGGGTTAACCTTCAAAAGACATCCTTTGCTTCAGACAGAGTTTGAAGTGGAATTCCCCAATTTTTAGAAACCCTATGAAATAAAAGAAAGGAATGTGATGCTTTTTGACCATTTCTTGCCAAATGTGATAAGCTTCTTGGCCTACTATGATACTTCTAGAATTGCTCAATCACATGAAAAATATGATTCATTAATGTTGTTGACAAATGTGTGATGGTGAAATACCATAGAGACTCTTTGTTTTGAAATCTAATGAAGATTTTCCTCTGGATTATTGTTGGATTTCCCCGGAATGATTCCCTGCCAAAAATCACCCTCATGTTGGATATCTCAAGAGAGAGAAAGTCAATTTCTGTATAATGAAATGAGAGAAAGCTCATAAATTATTTGTACCAAAACCCAACTTTCTCTGTAAAGCGGAGTACAGTAAACATTCAGTTTTGCCCTCAGAGGGAGGAGGGGGAGGGGGGTTCTGGAAAAGCAACACGTGCCAAGTAAAGGGTACATACATGCCCTTGTTTTATAATCTTCACCCTAAGTTACCCAAAGTGGGATTTCCCTGACTGTAATCCTCTGCCAGATTGATCATACCCATATGTTTGAAATCAAGATGGGGAATTCTTGTATTGCACAATCATTATCTTACATTGTATCTCGCTATGAGAATCATGTAAAGCTGCTAACATGACTTCTTTTTATTTCTTTTTCCTCGTTCTACGTGGTTCATTATTCACAAAACAAAATATCATTAATATATCTATCCACAAAAAATATACAAATATTCAAACAAATCATAAACATATGAAAATGGCTAAACAACGATCATAAGGGCCTTACTTATTTTTGATACTGTCACTTACATATTTTATCAATGTAAATGAATTCTTTATACTTATTAACCAAACATTAAATGTAGTTTGGTTGTTATCAAGTATTGAGATTTCAGTTAAGATCTCCCTGATTATATTGATTATGTGGTAACCCTAATTTATTGTTTGTGTTTTGGGTTCAACCAGTATGTGGTATGTCATGTTCTGTTTATAACAATAGAAAGATTACTCTAGTGGATAAGACCTTGTATGCTGTACGTGCAAGTCCCATTATTATTCTGTCTATTCATTGTGGCTTCCTGATGTGAACAGTGCATTCAAAGGGCAATGCTGTGGGAAACATTTGTTCCAAAGGAAAATCATAGTATTTTTGATTTACTTTCCATGTTGCATTGGGTTGGGTTTCATATGTTATCTTGATAATTTGCTTGATGTTATTATTGAAACAGTGACAGTACAGGTTATAATAACTTCTTCTATAATACTGCCACTGATATTTTTTAATGAATTAAAGAGGCATGCTCTTGCTTCACATACAAAAATAAATAACAAGCCGCAAGCAGTGTTAGCTTCTGAAAAGCTCTTAAAGAACTCACATCATTAAATTTTTGTTGTAAATATTAATGCATAAGGAAATCTCACTGCATATCTAAGTAGATATGAACAAAAGAGTAAATTTGACACTGCACTGTACCTTTTCCCTTTGTGAAATTGAAATATCAAATTCTATGTTTAAATATACTGTAAGTGTTTTGATTAGTATTACAGTGAAGTCTGTCTTTAAAGACAGCCTAAGGGAGACAAGAAAAATGGTGTCTATAGGCAGGTGGTCTTTATTTACAGGTTCCTTTAGTGCATGTTTCAATGAGAAACCATTTTCAAGGGAAACAAGAAATGTGTTCTTTGTAGACAGGTGGTCACTAAAGCAGGTTTAACTGTATTTTTTAATATTTGTATCTTGTTTATTTGTTTATGACAGACACAAGGAGATGACCAAGCAGTGCTCTGGCTGGATGAGATCCAAGGTGGAGTGGACAGAGCAAACAAACAGACCATAGCTGCTAATAAATGTGAGTAGCAATGAAGAGAAAAGGAAAGACCTTTAAAAAAGAAATCTAGAGAAATAAAGTATACATGCCTTCAGGGAAAGCCGCCAAGGGCCTTATAACTTGTCAGGACCTGTACTATATAAGAATTGCAGTTATGAAGTAATGTAACTTTCTTTGTTCATCGAAGTTGATGTTAATATTGTTCTTTCGCCTAAGACTTGATATGTTAATATTACTGTTCAATTTGTGTATGTGAACATTATAATATAATGTGTTCTTTTTACTCTGTACAAAATTCTGCAATTCAGAAAATTGACCCCAAATGATTTTTTTTCTTCTTCAATTAACCATTACTACCGGTACTAAGTCAGTGTGTTGATAACGTTGATATTGTTTACTTAACTGCTTTGAGAGCAAGTATTTGCTAATAGGTTCATGTAAGATACCAAGGGAACTACATCTCTAAGAATTATCCAAATGCATGGGAGGAGGATATATTTAAGGATTAGTGCCAAGGGCACACACTCATTACCTTGGGTTTTGAACCAGGACCTTCCAATCCTGAGACCATTGTCTCATTCATCAAGCCATCGGGATTCAATTGAATGGATGTGATCCATGACCATCATTATTCGCTCATTTTTATTGTAGTGGCTGTTGGCATAGCAACCATCAACATGGTAATAGAGGAAGAAGATGGTTCACTTCTCGTAGAGGCCCTCAAGAGTTCTGATGTTGGTCTAAGATCCGTCAAACCAGACTGTGGAGATGAGTACCTTCAAGATCTGAAACAATGCAAGCAAAGCAAAGCACAAGGTACCTTCAGAGTCGGATGATAGAATTGCACTATCAAGACTGTTGAATATTGAAATGTTGAGTTTTATTAAAGGGAAAGTCCACCCTGAAATTAAGTTAGTTTTAATAGGAGTAGAAAAATGAGAGAAACAAGTCAGTGAAAGTTTGAGCAAATTCCGATTAAAAATAAGGAAGTTAGGATTTTTGAAGTTGTGATCAATCAGACACAAATCGGCAACTCTATGACGTATCATGCGAGCTCAACTTCCATTTGCTCAGTACTAAAAAAATCTAAAATTTTCATTTTCCCTCAAGAAAAATTTCAACCATACATGCACCCTAAATATAATAATTGCAAATATGTTTCTATACTCCCCCCTGCAAGGAACAAATATATATTCCGTCATCAATAACGAAGAAAACATGATTTTATGGAATATTATGCACAAAGCAAATGAAGGAGAGCTCGTATAATAAGTCACAGAGTTGCCAATTTGTATTTGATTGATCACAACTTCAATAATTCATAACTTTCTTATTTTCATTCAGAATTTGCTCAAACTTTCACTCACCTGATTTTCTTATTATTCTGCCTCTATCAAAACAAACTTATTTTGGGGGTGGACTTTCCCTTTAAGATAAGTAATTAATGTAGAGGATATAGTCAAATTAGAAAAAGTGGGAAGAGGCTGTGGTACTGAATGAACATATGCTCGTCTGTGAAAGAAATTGTTCAGTAATACCATAAAAGTCATTTTACCATAGTGATTAGCTATCTTTATTTGTGATGCTAATTTCTTTCACCTTGTCAAAATCTTTAAACTGAAAACTGTATAACAGTCTGTACTTCCAACATATAATAATGCACGGATGGCAGAATTCTATTCTTTTGTATGTGTTTGATCAATATGCTATTAGATAATACTATGAGTCACTTCAACAAATAGATACAGTCAAACCTGTTTTAGTGACCACCTGTCTACAAAGACCACATTTTTTGTTTCCCTTGAAAAACGTTTTTCATTGAAGCATGTACTAAAGGAACCTGTCTACAAAGACCAATTATGTGTTTCCCTTGAGTGGTCGCTATAGACAGGTTTGACTGTATTTAACTTACATTACTGTTATGATTGAAGCTCTTTTGTCTTGCAAACAAATTCTAAAATACCGGTATCTTGTTTGATTCATCAGCTGGTGACGGAGGAGACTGGACGTGTCACCGGACCCCAGAAGGAGATGATTTCTATTTCAACCTGTCTACCATGGAATCTAGCTGGGTACAACCACCAGAATATGCACCTTCTAACACGCAACTCTCTAAGGAAGAAATTCAGGTCAGAAATATTCACTCTTGTAGATTTTCAAGTTTTCTGAAGAGCTAAGGGTGCATATATATTCATGAAAGGTTGTAGGGGAAGAAAGGGAAATGGATCAAGGGGGGGGGGGGTGCCATTGGAACAGTTGCCTCCTCTAGTAGTGATGCAATGGATGCTTTTGATTAAGTAAACCCCCCTCCCTCCTCCCCCTCCTCCTCCTCCCCTCCTCCTCCTCCCCTCCTCCTCCTCCTCCTCCCCTCCCTCCTCCCCCTCCTCCCCTCCTCCTCCAACCCTCTCCTCCAACCCTCTCCTCCCCTCCTCCTCCAACCCTCTCCTCCCCCTCATCCTTTGCATCCTGAAAATGAATCAAAAACCTTGGATAAAGTTAATGGGAATAATGAATTCTTGTGTTTCACTGCAAGAGTATATTCATGCTTATTCAAATATGTAGGTAAAAAGATTGGAAGAAGCTTTTCTTATTGATCTTGCAGCTTATAAAAAATGTACCAGGAAGCCTCGTATTTACCATCTTTCCCATATGATCACCTTGCAGGAGGTCGTATCTAAAATCACTGAAGCCAATAACCGCGCCCTACTCTTTGAAGCCAATGAGGGTAACATCATCACCCTCCAGGCCCACGCCCGGGGCATGATCGCCCGGAGGAAATACCTGGAACGTCGCAACTACCTTCACAACCAGATCCCAGTCATTGTGTTGATACAGAGCTTTGTGAAGGGATGGAGGCAGAAGAGAGCTTACAGGAATAGACTGGGTTATCTCAAGGAACAGGAACCGTCTGTAGTCACAGTAAGTCTGGCTGGTCTTCATTGCTTTGTGTTCTGGGAGGTGTTTCACAAAGATCCCAAGTCAACTTAACTCTAAGTTGGACTTAAATATTATGGAGAGCCATTAGTAGCCTTAAAATGAAATGTTCAAAAGCGAAAAATTCTTTTTAAAAAATTGATTTTTTTTTTATTTTATTTATTTATTTTTTTTTTTTTTTTTTAAATAAATTCCACACCGAGAACATAAAAATCTCCTTGATAATAGAAAATATGAATGATTTGAATTAACATTTTATGCCTTCTAAAATAAATTTTACAAAATATTTTCATAGATGCTTGCGGCTTTCCATAAATGTTAATTTCAACTTATGATCTTTGTGAAACACTCCCCTGGTGTTGTGAATTAATACTTGTAAATTGATGATGCGCCTGGTCCTAATGGAACATATAATGTTTCTAATGCAGAAACTATTTGAATGTTGGGCAGGAAGATAACTGATGAAAACAAACACACAATTAAAAATAATAATAACAGCTAAATTGATATGGCACGTGTCCTTCCCAAGGGATGTTTGAGGTACTCACAGCACACTACTAATGCACTAGAATTAGCCAAACTGCTTTGTGGTGCTGAAAATATTAAGTCTCAAAGATGTGTTTGTGCTGCATCTGACATCTGTTTTAAACAATTTCCAGTATACAGTGTTCATTGATCGCTTTATTTCCCCCATCTTGTTTTCTATAGCTCCAATCCTATGCCAGAATGACCGCAGCCCGCAAGGCTTACCAGAAAAGACTCCAGTACTTCAGTGATAATGTGAGTATCCAAATCATGGATTTACTCTTTAATTTTGTTCTGTTTGATTTCTGTTGATGAAACCTATGAAGAATAGTTACCATGTGAATATATCTCTTCGTACTATTTCGTAAGACTCAAAGTTAGTTTCAGATGCTAAAAGAACATGAGTGGGATTATTAAGAAACTTGAATGGATAATGTGATTTTGTCATTTACATTAAGGAAATTATGAATTCCTTTGATTGAAAAGACAGCCTTGTTATATGTCTTGGTTACTTTTGATGTGTTGTTTCATTGTAGAAGTATTTTAATACTAACAGGGGTTGTTACAGTTTGTGTGCTGAGTACGATTACATGTATTTGACTTAAATACATTCTTTTTTCTCCAGAATCATTTCAATTTATCGCTATGCAACATATATAAACATTTGCTATTTCATTCAACTTTTGAATCCTTCTGTAACTTCTCATGATTATCTGAACTATTTTATTCAAATCTTGACCTGGTGTCCTCTCTCTCTCTCTCTCTCTCTCTCTCTCTCTAAAGGCGAATGCCATCATCAAGCTTCAAGCTTTCTGGAGATCAAACAGAGCTAGGCATGACTACAGGGTCCTCAGTAAGTCTTAAAGGGATTGGGTAACTTTGCCTTAGATTCTGAAACAAAATCCTGGATTTAGCTCATGCTGCAATGATAATTATAAACCTTTAGGTCAGTCAGGGACCCCATGACTTTTTACAAGCCGATCGCCTGTCTGATTATCTGATTATTTTGAAGCGCAATTTTTTTTAGGGCTTCCATATTACACAATATCACAGATGCTGAAAACACGTAGGGCTGTGCATCTCGGATTTAACATTGTTAAACGATGCCTTTAAATATCTCACAATTCAAGTTGTTTCACACTCATATTTTCCTGTAGGAATAAGGATGTGCATGAAGCTTTTGATGTTAACCAATACTCTTGTACCACTTATCTCAGGTGCTGAACAGTGTCAATATGACAGACTTTCGGAAGAAGAAAGAAAAAATTGTTTTGATAATGTGATAATTTCGTGATGGAGGATTTGGAGTAGATTGTATATTATATTTTCTTGTTAGTTTCTTGTTTCTTTGCTTATTTCTTTGTTTTGCTCTAATATCAAGTGTTGGCTCAGTCAGTAGAACGTCTGCCTCACAACTAGGAGGTCGTGGGTTCGAATCCCGGCCGCGTCATACCAAAAGACGTTAAAAGATGGGAGTTGTTGCTACCTTGTTTGGCATTCAACAATAAGGGATAGAGCAACGTCGATCTGGCGCTGCTCAGTGGCTGCCGGGCTCACAATCAATTGGGAAAAAACGAATTTCCGTTTCGGTTTAATAAAATTTGGAGTGGACTATTAGGCTATTATTATTATTATTATTATTATTATTATTATTATTATTATTATTATTATTATTATTATTATTATTAATTACATTGCAAGGCTAGTGCCTTGACAAACACACCTGCAATATGAACCTTTGTTGTTTTGATCTGAAATGCAAATTCTTAATGTTTGTTTTGTTTCTATCCACAGCTCATTCTGACACACCTCCTGTGGCTGTTGTCAGGAAGTTTGTTCATCTTCTGGAACAGAATGAGGTGGATTTATCAGAAGAACTTGGTAAGTATGAAGAACATCCTAAGATTTATTTGCAAAGAAATGCTGTGATTCAAATTTGGCTTTGGAGCAAATAACTATTCATCACCACTGAAATGCAGGATGTCAGGAAAATGTGTATATTTTAATTTAAAGAATTTTGGTATTCATGAAATTCAAGACATTTGAAAAAGGTTGATGACTGGTATTCAATGGATATTGATGCTCAGTTGCTTAACACATTCACCATGCCTACATGTATTATTCGAAAAACAGTATTAGCTCATTGATTTAGAATAATTTTTTGATGATATGGAATGTTGTAAAAGTTCATTCATAGAGGTCACATGATTCTCTATATGGTCAGAAATATTAATTTTTTTAAAAAAATTTAAAAGTATAAAATGACAATTATTGCTAATAAACTTGTACATATTGAATTGTTTGAATGATGGGAGTGGAATGCTAATAATAGCATTGATTTATTCCTTTGTTTTTTTAATAACAGAACTACAGGAGATGCGAGGGAAGGTTGTAAAGCAGATCCGTTCTAACCAACAAGCTGAGAACGATCTCAATCTCATGGATATCAAGATTGGACTCCTAGTCAAGAACAGAATCACACTACAGGTTAATCATCTCTCTTCATTCTCATCTTATCTACTCTGAATATGTTACCATCAATGTGTGTGAAAGTGTATCTAGGCAGTCACTTCTCGGATTTAGACCAAGTACTTGCCATGGGGTGGGGGGTAATAATATATTCCAATTTTATATACCGGTAGTACTTTATGCGTTGACAATGTCTCTAAGCGCTTTGCAAATATATTATTTGTGGGGGTACTTGGTTGCAATGTAGTATTGTCTCTTATTTTTGCATCAAATGCTTCATGTCAGTTCTAATTTATCCATTTTCTTCATTTTTGTATTACTTCCTTTCATATCCTTGAGACTTTTGAAATTAATCTTTGAGAAATAGTGATATAAACTACAAATGAATGAAAGGTCTAGTGGTTGATTTCTCTTCACTCATCACTCTTTTTCACTCCCATTCCATCTGATATCTCCTCCTACCCCACCTGCCACATCCTGATTAACCTCCTCCCTTCCTTCATCCCTCTGACAGGACGTGGTAAGCCACGGTCGTAAGATGAAGCGTTCCGTCCAGGCCAGCCAGCCTCAGGGTCTCAAGACGCTGAGCAAGGAGAAACGTGACATGCTGGAAGCCTATCAGCACCTCTTCTATCTCCTACAAACCAACCCAACATACCTGGCTAAGCTCATCTTCGCTATGCCTCAGAGCAGAACTACCAAGTTCATGGAATCTGTGATCCTGACCCTGTATAACTATGCAGCCAATCAGAGGGAAGAATATCTTCTGCTGAAGCTCTTCAAGACCGCCCTTGAGGAGGAAATCAGGTAAGGGACGATGGTTGCATCTCTTTCGTGCTGTGTACCTCTATAAATGACCCCTTCATAGTCAAGATTATTACCTGTATCAAAGGATGGTTGAATATAGGTTTGCTGTAATTTTGATGTGTTGCAGTTGACTTAAATATTGAGATTGCTATAAGATGAAATATCTTCTAGAAGAGTTTTCTAATATTCTTTGGTGTCCCTGAAAATGCTGTATTTTCAGTCTTGTTTCTCTTTATAATACTTCAAGATCTGTTTTTAAATATGATACAGGTTTGGAGACTTTAGTATGCCCTTGGTTTGTAACAGTCCATTAAACTTTCCTTAATCTAATTGAAGTTAATCCTAGACCTACTTATGTGTGGAGTGGTGTATCGAGATTTGGGATGCAGTGTCATATTTTTCTACTGATCACCTCCTACCGTAATTAACGTTGTATTGACTGCACTTGATTTCCCGCCGGTAAACATCCAAATTCGCGATGCGTTTTTTATACACCTAAATGCATTATGCTGCACATTGTCTGAATTCCGTCTCTACTAATGTTACTGTAGGGGTCTCCATTGTTTTATTTATTCCGCTGGTGTTCCAAGTGGATGTGAAAAACAAATGATATGACCAACGACAGTTTCTTGTTTGAGTAATATCAGTGGAAGGACGGCACATTCTGGCTGAGAACCCACGCTATCTAGAGCGGGTATTGGCAGCCCGTAGTTGTAGGCTGTGTCAAGTCAAGTACGATCCCGTCATATCAGAGAAGGGCAAAAGAGACCCGTTTACTAGACATGGATTGACGCTATCCTAGTCAAAAGGTGCGCTATATTTGGTCCGACCGTCCGAGATGTCCATTGTTTCATTTTAAACATTGCTAAGTGTTGAGTTAATTGCCCCGATAACAATGACAACCGTACGGCCATCCATGCTATTATAAAAACGGGCGCTAGGCTTTGTTTCATTCTTATCATTTTTATTTTTGTATGATGCGGTCAAGATATATATTATCAACATTAATGTTTCATTGTGTTCATATATTTTTTTACACAATGTAAACGGTTAGCTGTGATCTTACCTTACAATGTCTGTGTGTCTCTCTTTCTCCTCGTTCTGTATCTCTTTTTTTTTTCTCAAACACCGGTGATATCGGCATTCATTTTCTTTATGCGTTTCTTTCTTTCTGTAGGCTTTCTTTTTGTCATAAAAGCAGGTAACATCAGCGGTATTTCATTGTTTTTCGCTTCTCTCTCTCTCTCTCTCTCTCTCTCTCTCTCTCTCTCAATCTGTCTCTTTTTTTTCTTCTCAGATGCCAGTGATATTGGCATTCATTTTCTTCATTCGAGCGCTATATAAAAGCGGAATATTATTGTATTATTATTATTATTCATTTCTTTCTTTCCGTCGGCTAACATCAGCGATTTTATACACGAGTGCGGTTTATACAACGTTTATTACGGTACTCCTAATATTCATGTAGGTGTATATTACATGGAATTATAAGTGTGGGTTTTTATTAATTGATGATCTGACTTTCGACTATGGTCTATTTTCTATCTGAAGAAAATACTCTTCCCCTCCTGCTCTTCTTTTCTTATTTTCTACTTTCAGCTCATTCTCAAACCTTCATTTCTTTGTACCACATGGAAGATGCTTACATAAAGGGGTTCATTTTTCTATGATATCTATAATTAGGCATGAATTCATGCATCTGTTTAAAATGAATAATATGTGTGCTTTTCTATCTCATATATGCCCTTTGTCATCTTTTTTTCCCTCAACACAATCACAAATTACTGATTTTTGTCATGGGACGATGGACTTTATATATGATTTAACATTGCTTATGAGTTGACCCTCACTTTGCCGTGCCAAAGGTCATTGTAATACCACCGTGTGTGTCTTTCTTTCATTCTCCCTCCATTAATAACAAAAGGTCCTTACAGTCGGGAATAAAGTAAGTGATGTAGATGATATTTTGTAAACCTTCGTCCTCATCCTGTGTCAACGCAAAAAGGCAGCTCCTCCATTTCATTCGTCACCCTTACATGCCAAATAGGCCTCTTAACAGTGTTTCTTTACATCTTCAAAAGTATATACAGTGCATTTGCAAAACCTATTACATTGACAAGACATTCTATGTTCATTTAAACAGGCATCCAATCTTTTCAAATAGTAGAGCTAAATACTCGCAGAGACTCGACATTTGTCTCAAATGTTTAATGGGTCTATTGGACAAAGGCTCCTTATTTTTTCTTATTTTTTAATCACTACAAACCAGCCCAATGAAAAGTCAGTGTGAAAACCTGGAAAAGGTAAATAAATCATGAGAAAGAAAAAAAAAGTTAGAGTTCCATTTGTTTTGGAAAGATATATAGCATTATAGATATCAGCCTTTTTGTATTGGAGTTCATGCCTGACTTCATGATATAATAGTTCATCCATTCGGACATGAGCTTCAAAGTTTAAAGGCTATTTTAAAACCTGAAGGAAACTGCCAGAAAGGTGAAATTGAGGAGTTGCCTTAGAATATTGTGGTGTCCAACATCATGTGGTCCAGGTTGTTCTTTGTCTGTTCCTTCCGTCCTTGCATGAGTGGTTATCTAGAGGTCACCTTTCATAATTGTCTCTGTTCCTTGTGAAAATAATTCTTGCCTTGTTTTGTACTTGTTTTGTTGGCATATGTGTTTCTCTCTATTTGTTTGTGTTGTCATTGCTCTCCTGGGCCCGTATTCAATTCAATACTTACAAGTACAAAATTCAAGCTTTTTACTTTGTATTTGGCTTAGTAAAATACTTAGCCAATTTGGGTATTCAATTCAAACTTTTGGCTAAGTATTTTACCCTAAATTTAAGACAGCTCCCTACCAGACTTAAGCCAATTATTTAGAGGCCTTGATTAGCAGGCATATGGGTTTCTTACGCAGTATCATAACCTGCGCATTTATTGCTACGCATTAATTGTGCATTACTTTTGATTGACCGTGTGATGTCACAATGCTTATCAGTAAATATTTTACTTAGATTTTGTCTTACCGGTAGGTAAGTAAAAGTCTAAAATGCGATTTGAATACAAAATAAGTAAACTTCTTAACTTAGCCATTTACTTTAATTGTAAATTTCTTACTTTTTCTAAGTATTGAATTGAATACCTGCCCTGGGCCCTGTTTTATACAAATTTCTATTAAAAAAAAACAAACTATGAACAGATATTGAATAAAGCTAATGAAATCATAGCATTTCATTGACTTTGAGCATACTAGTACCTGTTCTAGAATTGTTGTTGTTGTTGTTATTCATAATAACTTCACAAAACAGGGTCCAAGTATGTAGTAAGACTCATATTTTGAGAGAAATAATTTTAAAATTCTCAACTTTGCTGTGTGTTTCATGATAATAGACCAGTTTACTGATGTGTCCAAATTCATGAATGTTTTTCCTAAATACGATGTCATCAGTTTCACATGTTCTTTATCATCTGCGTAGTAACAGTAACACAATTCAGAAAAATTGTGATATCTTCTGAAAAGCTAGCAATTAAAACTAATTGGCTTACATAATGTTAGAAATACATTGCCTCTTGAAATCATAAAATCAATACAGAAGTTATTTGTTATCAAGAACCCCTTGATTCGTAAGATTATATTTACCATTTTTGTCCTCCCCTCAGTAATTTCTCATATAATCTTAAATACATGTTAGATGTTACTTCTAGGTCAATCTGCCATACAACTTAGTTCATTAGAAAACTGGTCTATTATATTTCCTTTCCAAGTTATGTTTGTTTCTATATGTAATTAGTGGTCACCTCATGTTTTAAAGACTTCCTGATATTGAGATTCAAGTAAATCTGTAGACTATGATATCATAACAAAGGTTATTTTTTCTCAATCAGCTGTTTGTATTTGTTATATAAAGGATGTTAAAACCTTATTTTTGTTCATTATTTTGACCTGTCTTCATATCAGCTGTTATGATCCTCAAAGGTCCTGCATGCATTCTCTGTTTTATGTTAATTTTTTAATGAAAATTCAACCCCCAGTGTTTCATGTTTTTATGTTCCAGGCAATATATTGGCAGTAATGTCTTCTTCTGTGTATCAAAGAGCCTTTTCCCCAATATTGTCATTACCCCAATTGTTCCTACTTGTATATACATGTATGTTACTTGGCATATTAGTATTCTTATATTTTGACATTTTCATTTTCATTTTCATTTCAACAAACAAATTTTATAATTGCAATACTTTTGGTGGTTGTACTGTATGTAATCATTATATCATGTTGATTGTTGACTACAGTGTATGAAACGACATTTGTACATGCTCATTGTCTCAAATATCCCAATTCTTTGGCTAAAGGAATCAATGCCAGCAAAACGTCACAATGAAAGATGCTCATTTTCTTTCATGTCCCATTTTTCCCCTATCACTTATAACTTTCTTCTATTGTGTTGCTTTACTGTGAATCAGACGAAAGTAAGTTGCTAGGCATGTTCTGACTGACTGCATCCATTGAGCACATGCTGCATTAAAAAACAAACAGATGATGCATCATTAGCTATTGTTTCCATCTTTAGAAGACAAAAAAAAACTACACCGAATAAAAAATTTGGTTTCTATTATGAACCGTTTGAAAGATTTTGTCCCATATTATCTGTTAAGAACCAGAAGGGTGTAAGATTGTTTGCCTTTATTTAGATTTAATGCCCTTCTAGCTCTCAATAGGCGATGTGTTTATGATTCAAAATAATATATGTATAGAATTCTTCCTAATACATTCTATTCTATTTTACACCGACCATAGATTTTCGACAACAATTCTTAAAACACTTAAAAGTGGATAGAATACCTGTAGTGCATTTTTCAAGTAGAAGCTAGTTGAAGTAGGTACGTCACACATGTACATGACATATATTTAAATGTACCATATCAGTATGAAATCATCACGTTTGAAAGTGAAGAGAATGCTTGTAGTGCATTTTCAAGTAGCAGTTAGTTGAAGTAGGTTCGCTCACACATGTACATGACATATATTTAAATGTACCTTATCAGTATGAAATCATCATGTTGAATTTACATCAATTATAGCTTCATGAGATGTCACATCAGACAGAATACCTGTAGTGCATTTTTTAATTAGAAGCTGGTTGAAGTAGATACACATTGTACCTTCACACATGTACTTGTCGTACATTTAAATATACAATATCAGTATAAAATCATCATGTTGAATTTACATCAATTAGAGCTTCATGAGATGCCACAACTTTGTATAGGAAGTACATATAGCTGCAACCTGAATGTGATACCATTGACTGTTACGTGCTTGTCGTTGTCAAGTAGAAGTGAGCATGTTGCTTTTTAGAAAGTGTAATGCCAAATTGTTTGTTTTGTGTTTGTGTGTATTGATGTTGGCATGAATTGCAGCATGAACTTCAGACCTGTTCATGTCAGTTGGTCGGTTGTTTCAGGCTTGCATTGATCAGCATGACTTCATATTTGCATGCCCAACTTGACAAAAACAGTTGATTTCCAAGGAGGAGCCTTGGAGAATTACATTTCTGCATGTAATTTCAGGCCATAATTGACATTTTAAAGAGTTACAAAGTATTTTGAAGTTTTGGCCCAAATTGTTCATGAATTTTGGGCCTAAATTGTTTATGAAATCAAATGCAAAAGTTGTTCAGGCTGCTTGCTATATTGACAGTTTTGCCAGATCTGATTAAGAAACTTGTTACTCTGCATCCTAAGCATGTATGTGGCTAATGTTAATTTAACTACCCATAAAGTGTAACAAACAATAATACTTATGGAAATTATTTATGGATTTAATGTCAACAAGCAGGTATTATTAGAACAGCAAATTGATCTAAAACTGACTTATTATCTGTGTTTTCCATATATTATAGGATAGTGTATTTTGCTTGAGAATTGAATAAAACATATACACTCTACACAATCATTACATCATTAGTAGCAAATAATAGAAAATTCTTTTTATTGAGCTTCCAATTTTTAGTAAGTACTGGAAACAATTTGTCAATGATTTATTTGTAAATTACGTAAATGTTTTTTTCATTTATAAGGCAAGTTTTTTCGATCAAAATGTAGTTGGAAAGTGGTGTGACTTCTAGGTTTGCTAGTTGAGTGCTGTGTCTTCAGTGTGATGTAACACTTCAATTTAACCCTTTGCTTCCTGTAACAGCTTTGAGTTAGTACAAGAGATGCAACATTCTTATCCTAGTAAGAGGGTACTGGTTATAGACAACAAACCAGCCGATGCGTGAGTTAGGCACGCTGAATCGTGGATAGCAACCAATGAATATGCAAGACTGAATGTGAATGATGATGGTGAATTACATAGGACTGCATCTTGTAGTGGAGGGAGCATGAGATGAAGGGCATCCTGCCATGTTTACTGAAGTCTTATTTGGACGTGAAAATAAAATATACCCGTAGACGTTGCTCTAGCTCGATTGGTGATCATCGGGCATCCCCTGTCTTCATGTAGTGAAGCATTAGTTTAATGAGCCTGATTTTTATGCATCAAGATATAATTATGCTACTTGATACCAGTCACTTCAGTTTACGTACCGGTACTTTAATGGGATTCTAGTTATTGATTTTCCCAAAATATTTGAAAGAAGTAACATTTTGTGAACTAAACCAGTAACCTTCATGTTTTACAAAATGCTATCTATATAATGATTTTGAGAGAGTATGAATATTCAGTCACTTGAAAGCATTGTACAGACATGCACCTACAATCTTACATTAAAACAAATTAAATATCATGCTTTTAAAAGGATATATTTCAAATGGAGTCACTTCTTTTACTTTTATGAAATTTATCTTACATTGTTCATCAGAGACTTTATATATTCAGAGTAAGTGAAGATTTTAACCCAGCCCATCAACCCAGCTTGGTAAAGGAAATGCCTTCAAACAAATTTCTGCAACAAAAAAAAAAAAAAAAAAAAAAAAAAAAAATTGATCCTAGAAAATCCCTTTCTACCAACCCTGCAAGAAATCCACTTTTTCTCTTTTCTATTGCCCCCTTCCCCCCCCCCCCCCCCCAGGCTCCTATTGGCAATACATTGATGTATCATTTTGCAAACAATTCTTTCACTGAGCCATGTTAAAAAAAAAAGAAAGTGAAAGGCACGTGTGTTTATCTTAAATTAAAAATTTTAAAAATTGTAATTGTTGTGAAAGTAGCAGGGAAATTTCATTACACCTGTAGCAAGGAAGCTTGTATTGAATTTATTCAACAATTTTCTATCCAGATTAGTCTTTTTTCTACTCTTGATCAATTTTGTACTTCGTATTTACTTATTAAAGTATTTTCTAAGGTATGGACTTTGTATTTGTAACCTACTGCATGGCATTCTAAATGTTTCTTTGTGCTTCATTGTAAGGTACGAATGTATGCCTGTGAATGCTGGTGAACTTCATCTTTTGTATCTGCATGAAGTGACTAGGAATGGTCAATAGAGGGAGCTACATCAGCGAAGAGTTTCCTTACTCCTGTTATGACAGTCTGGCTCTTTGAAGCATTCCTTCATTTCTAAGTAAATTAAGGAGTAACTTTACTTAAATACAATGAACAGAACAATAAGAGAACTTATTTTCGCAGTGCCTATTTTCAACAATGTTTGGAAGGTCAGTGGTTGATCAAACTCTGTTATGGGTAGAATGCATGTCAATGCAGAGGTGTGTAAGGCCTTCTGAGGCAACAAATCTAAGCCCACCCCTTCATCCTACTTCTGATGTAACCCTCCCCCACCTGTCACTCAAGGGGGTAGTTCACAAAGATCCTTAGTCAAACTCTAAGCTGGACTTGAAAATTATTGAGAGCGTTCTGTAGCCTTAAAATAAAATATATTCAAAAGCGAAAATTCAAGTATTTTAGACTTTTTATAAATTCCACATCAAGAACCTGAAATCTCCTTGATAATAGAAAATATGAATGATTTGAATCAACATTTTATGATTTTTAAAATAACATTTACAAAATATTTTCAAAGATGCTAACGGCTTTCCATGATTGTTAAGTCCAACTTAGAGATAAGTTCAACTTAGGATCTTTGTGAACCCCCCCCCCCCCTCCCCACCTGTCACTCCTGTTGGTCGAAAAGGCCTTGGTCTTGATACAAATGATGCTTGCTGCATGTTGCTTCAGTTCTTATCTCGATGTGGTCATATCCTAAGAAGCTGTAATTGATCTCTCATTGTTCTTCTCTCTTTAGTTCCAAGGTGGATAGGATGATGGAGATTGTTACAGGGAACCCTATGGTCATCAGGATGGTGGTCACCTTCAACAGGTACGATGAACAAAATATCTAAGATTTCTTTACGTTAGACTTGGTCAAAACGATATCCTCTATTATGTGATAACCTGTATACAGTTTTAAGAACGATATACAAAGAGCATAAAGTGCCACTTCGTAGGTCATATCATTGTCTCTTTAGGGATACTTGTTCGTAAAAATATACAAATAATTTAAAGGATTGCTTTTGTACTTATTTGTGTTCTTTTATCAATATTTTCCTTTTTTTGTGATCCAACTCTGTTGAAGTAATTGAAGGTTTTAGTTGAGATTTATCAATTTTACAGGCTGTTTTTGTTGAGACTTATTAATATTGAATTTATTGAAATTCAATCCAGAGAAAAACGATTTTGAGGAGTATCCTTAAGCCTCGTTGGCTACCATCAGTTTTTATCAAGACGGCTTGTTGTAATCTAATGGTGAGGACTGATGGCTAACCTCTCCATGGAAAGACTTCCTCAGCAATAGCAACATACATGTTTTTTCTATTTCTCTTACGACAGAGGTCAGAAAGGTCAGAGTTCACTGAGGGACATCCTTCAGCCGTTGGTGAAGGGTGTGATGGAGGATAAGAACCTAAACATCAATACCAACCCAGTAGAGGTCTACAAACAATGGATCAACCAGATGGAAACACAGACAGGAGAAGCTAGGTGAGCAAAACTAATCGATGGAGAGAATACCAATAACATTTTTATCGTAACGGAGGCATTATGTTTACGGGTTGTACATCTGTCCGTACGTACGTCCCGTTTTCGTGATCGCGTTATCTCAAGAACCGATTGATGGATTCCTGCCAAACTTAGGTCATGTATGTATCTTGCAGAGCCAATGAATTGATTAGATTTTGGGGTCATGAGGTCAAGGTCTAAAGGTCATACATGTATATGAGAAATAGCTTGTAATCATGATATTCTGAGAACCTGTTAATGGATTACAACCGAACTTGAATTTGAAATATTTCTTCCGTTTTGGTTTGTAAAATTGCTCTATGACGGAGGCATCACGGAAGTTCCATCTAGTTTTAAAGTAAACATAAATAGAGTCCAAGGTAGGAGACTAAGAGGATAGATGAAAAGCTAGGTAATGAGGAGAGAAGGGTAGAACATTAAAAGTTAAGCAGATCACACCAAGAAAAAATAAAAGATATAAAAAAGCTTGTAAAAAATAGAAATATCCCAGAGTTGGGCAAAAGATTCCTAGGGATGTGGGATGCATTTGGGAAGGGCACAAAAGGAAGGAAGAGAACAGAACAGAGAGAAATGTAGAGGAGTAAAATTGATGAAATCAGAGATGAAAATTGTGTTATTAAAGTACTTTGGTAATGATTTGACACTATTAAAGGAAAACATTTAACGATTCGATAGAATTGATAAGGAAAGGATAGAGCAAGAGATATGGAAGTGCCAGTCATCTGGACCAAGTAGAAAGAAAGAGGTTAGCAAATGCATGATAACCATCTTTAATAATTGCCATCTCTTTTCAGACGGGGCAAAGTGTACTAATACTAGTATCCTGACATCCATTTCAAGTGCCTTCGTAAATGTTACCTCTGATATAGACGTATTTGATAAGTATTACATAGCTCATAGACGACCATTTATTTCCCTTTAACTTCTATCTCTAACAGCAAGCTACCCTACGATGTACCATCAGACCAAGCCCTGAAGCACAAGGAAGTCTTAGAGAGATTGGATGCATCCGTTACTCAGCTCGGTGAAGTCAGCAAGAAGTTCCTAAATGCAATCATCTCATCCGTTGATATGATACCGTGAGTCGACAAGTCATGCTCATGACAATATTCCACACACTATCCCAAAATTTTATAATCAGTTTTCCATGAATAGTCGGTGTAGCATACAAGAAAAATAGAGATATTTTTGCTATGATACTGGTTAACAAACTGATCCTGCAAATGGATTTTGTAATCTGTACTTGGTATTATGTTGGATGAGTGATATTGTTTCATCCTCATTTGAAAAGGACAATAGTACACAATGTAATGTAGAAAGCATTCAGAGAATGAATCTTCTACTGTTGGTCATAAAAAACTTCATAAGGAATACAGTCCTGAAATATGTATAAGTATGCCAGATATACTAGTCATGAGGGCCTTGTTGTTTAAAACTTAGCATTAACCATAGTAACAGGGCTCAACAGCCAATCAAAATCAAGGTTTCCATGGTAGTTACCATTGATGGCAAAGTTACCATCAATGATAATTTTTGTGCAACGGGCCTAGGTCTTGCAGATTATAATTCTGTGTATCTGTAATCCTTCTCGTTTGTGTTTTTACCTCCTGCAGGTATGGTATCCGTTACATTGCCAAAGTCCTGCGTGAGTCTCTGCATGCTAAGTTTCCTGATGCATCAGACGAAGAGGTTCTAAAGGTAAGCTACATTAGGCTACATTTATTCTAATATTTAGCCAAATATTTCAGTTGATGCCTACAACGTGTTTACATACTTCACTCTCATTGTATATTTCATTTTTATATATCAAGCAGTCTGAAATGTATTTTTGAAATGCTTTTGTATTTTCTAGTCAAGAGTTTGACCAAATTTTATATTTTTGCTGTTTTTATTCTTGTATAATTTGACTTGGCTCGCTGGAAGTGCCAAGAAGGTAAATTAAGACTTCTTTTTTTTTTGCATGAACTGCGACGTATGACCAAATTATGCTAATCTTACTGATATTTTTGTAAAGCTCTTTACGAAGTTGTAAGATAGCCTTTTGATAACACTATCAGACCTTTAATTTCTGTAGATAGAGTTGGAATAAGTGTCGATTTGTATGAGGTAATTAATTGGTATCTCTTATATCTGGATCTAAGTCTTATTTGGTCCATCTCTCCATGTCCGTCTCTGTTCCTATAGATTGTAGGAAACCTGATCTACTACAGGTATATGAATCCCGCCATCGTCGCTCCTGATGCCTTCGACATCATCGACATCGGAGTAGACAAGTTGATGTCTGTGGAGCAGAGGAGAAACCTGGGATCAATCACCAAAGTACTGCAGAGCATCGCATCAGGGAAACAGGTGAGAGAGGGGATGATGGTGGTGGTGGTAGTGGTGGTGGTAGTGGTGGTGATGGTGGTGGTGGTGATTATGATGGTGCTGGTGTTGGTGATTATGATGATGATGGTGATGATGATGGTGATGGTGGTGATGATTATGATGATTATGATGATGATGGTGATTATGATGATGATGGTGATGGTGGTGGTGATTATGGTGATGGTGGTGGTGATTATGGTGGTGGTGGTGCTGCTGGTGTTGGTGTTGGTGGTGGTGATTATGATGATGATGGTGGTGGTGATTATGGTGGTGCTGGTGTTGTTGGTAATAATTATGATGGTGGTGGTGGTGATTATTATTATGATGGTAGTGGTGATGACAATGGAGATTATGATGATGATGGTGGTGGTGATTGTGATGATGGCGGTGGTGGTGGTGGTGATTGTGATTATGGTGGTGGTGGTGGTGAGCATGATGGTAATGGTAGTGGTGGTGGTGGTGCTGCTGCTGATATGATGGTGATGATGTTGATAATGCTGATGATGGGGATAACGACAATGATGATAATGATGATGAATATGACAACGATGATTATTGATGATAGTTGTAGTGGTTGTAGTGTGATGGTGATATTCATGAAGATCTACAATGATGATTAGGAATGATGGTGAGTAGGACAGTGTTAGCTAAGACGGCAGTATAACTTATCCAAATATGAAATGCTATTAACTGGACACCCCCACCTTTTTCACAGAAAGTTCCAGTATTTGGTACATTACTCATGGAATCAATGGAGGGAGTAAGTCAGCTGGCAAGGAATGATGCATGAGCATGAATCTTCATGGGAATGAAATTTGATTCAAGACTTTGATTTTAAATCCCCCCCCCTATCAAATCTCAAACTATTTTGAACAAGATGATTAAGTTATAATTTGTATGAAGCCTCTGAATGTTGTATGGGAATGTGCACACAAGAGAATATACTGTTAACCCAGCACTTTAGTAGCTCCAAATACAGTCAAACCTGTCTATAAAGACCACCCAAGGGAAACAGAAAAAAGGTGGCCACTGTAGACAGGTGGCCTTTCTAGACAGGTTCTACAAGACACTTTTTCTCTCATGGGAGACAATATGCATGGCCACTATAAAGAGGTGGTTGTTAATACAAGTTTGACTGTAGCACCAAGAATACTGATCAGCAATAAAGCTTCTTGCACATGAGCAAGCCATTGATATAGTCCTCATATTGATCAGAAGTTCTACAATAACTTATTTGTTAGATCCAATTATCTATCAATTATACCTCTGTATACTAAGAAAGGTGGAAATTTAACCTAATTTAGTCGGAGATAAAAGACAAGTTACTATTTCAAGCATGATTTAAACAGGAAGTTGATGCAGTATGCCCCAGAAGAACTTCTAGATGATAATGCCTGCCGTCTGCCTCTTGGATCATCACAATCTTTTGCATCTTGTATTCTTGAATTATTTCATTGCATTGGAGTATACCTGAACTGCCCATTGTTCAAATTTCTAAACAAACTTGTGTAAAATCAAGGAAATTAAGATGGAGCCTAAAGGTAGCAGCATAGGATTATAATTGAATTGAATTGAATTGAATTTATTCACCACTTTCATAAAAATATTTCCTGCAAACATAGATACTGCCCAAACAGAGTTTTAAGTTCTATGCATTTGAATAAATTTGTGATATAGCAGGTGATGTCTTTGGTTCATCCCTTTTTAATGTATCCAGGAGCAAAACTTTCCTGATGCATTTAAACATTTTGTTTCAATTTTTCATGGATTTATTGACATACTATTCGATAAGGTCCTCATAATATAGAATCATGTACAAGTAGATATTTACTCCCACTTTTACCCCTACTGACCACACCCATTTTTAGTCTTTTATTACTTAGCATATACGTACAGAATGACATTTGAATTCCATCCCTCGTCATGGTCAACTCAACTCAGGGAAGTTTTTATCTGATCGTATTGATTGATGAATTTATTTTTACATCATTTTTTCTTGCAGTTCCTTGAGGAGAATCTTCACCTTACCAAACTGAATAATCTCGTCATCAAGTCTTTTGAGAAATTCAAGTAAGTGCAACCCTTCAAGGCATGTTTCGATGTTATAGTTTTTCTTTATGAATACATATAGAAGTACATGTAGAAGTATGTGTAGTGGACGACAGGTAATGTAGCTTTATTTGCTCTTGGTACAAATATAGCAATCTTGCAATAGGAAAAGAAGTGTGAATATAACTGCTACTACTCTTATTTTCTATTGTCAAATGTAGATATCTGTAGTTGTATATGTTTCCCAAAAGAAGAACATGTATATTAAAGCAAGATTTACACTCGACAGACAAAATGTATGAGAATTTCAATGATGATATCATTACAGCACTTACTTTTTTTTAGTCCTACCTTTCTGAATATCCTGTTGCTTTATTTCATCAAATTCCAAGAATGTATTGTCATTTATTCATGGACAACACCTCGTATTTTGATGCTGCTGATGACAGATAGTCAAACTGTTCGAAACGTCGAGCCACTCCTACCACCCATCCTCTCCAACTGGCGCTATAGTTCTCCTTAGAACTATAAGCTCAAGAAAGATTACCAACAGTCCTTTTCAGGACTCCCCAATCCTCCCTCTCTCTCACATAGTGCACCCGCAAGCCTACAGTATACCTCATATTTTATCATGTTTTTCTACTGTATTTCTTCAGGGATTTTTGCAGGAAAGTATGTGATGTTCCAGAGCCCGAGGTCAAATTTAACATCAATGAGTACTCTGACTTTGTGAACCCCTCCAAGCCAATCGTCTTCATCTCAGTCAAAGAAATCATTGACACACATGCAGTAAGTTAAATTCTAATCATTTTACATGGTGTTCATTCACTGAATACTTCTTTCAAACCAGATTTGTATATTGAGTATAAAGATAGGAGATAGACAGTGGATTTGCTGTGTCTTGAATATTTGATTTGGTTAGATTTAGTAATAGGAAAGAGGGAAGAATGATTTCAGTTGCTTACTTTACGGCGCAAGTATTAAAGACCGTCAATACTACTGGGCCAGAAGGGATTAGACCACACAGCGAGGTCACTGACAGGTGGCTATCTCATTAACTCAGCACTCAACTAACATAAGAAAAAGAGGATCATGGGGGACCAACAAGCACCGATTGGGGAGTTTTCTATATAGAGGGACCAAGTAGGACATTGGGGCTTTAAGATAATGTCAGATTGTCTAAATAGAGTAAACTAAACGTTAACATTTCCAGTGATGTCACCGTGTTGGACAAACATTTGAAAATTGTTCAGAGGTTTTGTAAATACTTCTCAAACTATGATTTGTTTAGTCTTTGTGGTTCCTTTTTGTTTGATTTGGACAGAAATGTCTCTTCCCAAAATAACCATTTGAAGAAGATGCTATTCATTATCATTACAGTTTCAGATCGATTGCTGTGCTTTTCTTTCAAAACCTTGTCTAATCTTCTTATGTTTTTATTTCCTATAGAAATTTCAGATGGTATTCAATCTCATGCTATTTCTTCGAGCAGGTACGCTAATGTTTTCTGCTATTTTTCTTTGTCTTTGACAGCAAATTCTAGAGAATCTTGAGGTGCTTGCTCCAGAGCAGAATGATCCCATACATGAACTCCTTGAAGATCTTGGTGAACTGCCATCTGTTGAAGACATCCTAGGTACGGAACATTTCCCACTTAAACATTTTTTTCTTTAACAACTTTATATTTCCGTTATTTGATTTGGACAAATTGTGAAGATACTCCAGCAATTATACTGAGATCTGGACCAAGCCTTGTAAACAATTATGATTGATTCAAATTGATTACTAATTCATATCAATTGCAACTCTGTTGTATAGGGATAGAAGTTCAGTAAGTTTTTGATTGACTTGCGATCCATCCAGATCAATCACGACATGGCCCTGGTATTTGGAAATCATTTTGGATGAAATTTTAAATAGGAATTCAACTTTTGTTTTATTGTTTGCAGGTGACTTACAAAAGTGATCTGCCACGACACAAGGTAGAGACTTTGGTACAGAACATGACAAAGACCGGAATCTCACTCACTCTCACTAAGCCCTCAATGTATCTGTAGCTCAAACTAATCCTGTGTTTGATTGAATCTTTAATCTTAATTCTTTAATCTGGGTACAAGATCGGTACAAAACATGACGGAGATGGACTCGTCACTCTTCCTCTAACTTTCCTGAAAATTAACCCTTTCTTTCATGTTTTTTTTCGTAGGTGACACACCGAGTGACTTACCAGAACATCAGGTCGAGGCTCTCCTGCAGACCATGGCCAAGAATGAGATCTCTCTCACTCTCACCAACAAGTTTGAGATCCATGAGGATGATGACAGCGACAAGAAAAGGCTCTTCATCAAGTAAGTCAAATAGCACCGGTAATAGAACTAGGAAAAATACTACAGACACAAACCTACATATTGATACATGTATCAGTCCTTTCTGTGCTGTGGACAAAGAATTTTGATGCTGTTTGATATATTTGGATTAAGAATGTTTTTTCAAAGAAAATAAGAAAAATTATTTCTTTACTTGATTGAACAGAGTGATGTAATAATTCAAACTGAAAACATGTCTCGTGAATATCCATCTACATTGGCCATGTATTTAATCTCCCTTGAGAAAGAAATGTGTGCTGTGAAACTTGTCTAGAAAGGCCACCTGTCTACAGTGGCTACTTTCTCTGTTTTCCTTGAGTGGCCTCAATAGACAAGTTTGACTGTATTTAGGTCATTGATTAAGAATGTGATATTGTGATGTTTCATTGTTCAGGACCAAGAGGTTACTGGTGGATGTGATCAGATGCCAGGCAGGAGATACAGTACAACAGATCCTTCAGACTGAAGCTAATGAGGACCAGGTAAGAGCTTCATACCACAAAGTAGAACGCCTGTATCTTTCTTATCCATGATGGAATAGTTAGAATTTTAAAGTGGGACTGCACTACTTGCAGCTACTTGCGCCCTCTATATAGCAAACAATGCCCAAGCGGTACCCGTTGGTCCCCCATGATCCCCTTTTTCTTATGTTTATTGAGAGCTGATTTGATGAGATAACCATCTGTCATTGACCACACTTTGAGGTCTAATCCCTCATGGCCAAACTAGTGCAGACAGGCTTTAACTGATTTGCCAGCTTAGCATAAGTTGCACTGATACATGACTTGAAAATTCAAGGAAAAAGAAATCAAGCTTATTAGTCTACAACATTCTCAATTTGAATTGTTCAGTTCAGCATACATGTATATTTTCTTGTTTCTTGTATGTTTCATGACATAAAGATAGTGTTCTCAGCAATATATTCAATTCAGTTCACTTCACGACAGAATCATTAATATGGTAACTTCATTCAGTTACACATTCCCCTATCAGTATGGATAGTTATTGCCATATTTTTGTTTGTTTTTTGCAGTCCACAACACTGGATAAGAGATAAAACTACATAATGACTGATCCCCCCTATATTTCCTAAGTAAAACAAAAGAAAATACAAATTTTACCATAGATCGGTTGATAGAGTCATAAGTGATATATTTATTATTCATATTCCTCTCTTTTATTTTGCTGACTACCAGGAAGAGGAGCACAATAGATTGATAGATCAGAGGATGAAGAGAGATGCAAAGGCCAGTGAAGAAAGTAAGATGTCAAGGAATACATCACAACTGGAAGATAGCAAGTAAGTCATTGTTAATCACGATCCCTTTATGTTTATAACATTGACTATGACTATTCAGTTTGATTTGATGGTTTGTTTTACCTGACTGCTAAGAAAGCATGTGTATGCTTGTAAGTTAGCAGCCAAGGGACCGACAGCTTTTAAGTCCTCTCAGAGGGACTTAGTAATGAGGATTAATGCCTTACCAAAAGGGAACTAGCGCATCGACTTGGTTTCGAACCCGTGACCTCCTGGTTACATGACCACTGCTCTACAACTGAGCTATCGTGTCTACTCCAGTTATGTTGAAAGACACTCACATTCTTATCAAATGGATTGGTTCATGAATTTACCGTCATCTGAAAGTAGCATGTAGTTCTTTAAATAAGAAAATATGGGATAAGCTGATACATCTAAACAATTGCTCATGACATGTATGGTTGCCATGAGCACTTAAGACTGAGCATGCTTGTGTGTAAAATAGCACAGAGTACATGAGTAATGTTTGTTTTTTTGCTGTTCTTATTAAAAAACACCTCAGTTTGCCTCAGTGTAACATAAAAACTTATGAGACTCTTTCTTGGAATTTTAAGTCTTTTGTCTGATGAATTGAATTCGATTAAAACATTCTGTACATGTTTAAATCAATCCAGACAACTCACTAGGTCTAATGCTGTGAGAAGGTAATGTTTTCAACAAGCACACTTTTTAAAGCTATGCTATTCTTTCTAAGTTCCCATTAAATTAATTTTACTTCATGTATAAAAACCAGAGAGCAAGAATTGGTTAGCCTGATTGGAATAGTTCCCTCTTTAATGAAAATAAAAATGAACCAAGTCTCCAGCATTTAGGTTGTGTCTTCTCTAACTCAGAAGTGACTAAGAGGAGAATTAAAATCTGTAAACTTGAGATTATGTTGAATGTATTTATAATTACATATCAAATTCATTCACCCTTAAACCAAATTACCCGGCATGTACTCTCTGGTTTTCATGTCCCAGTCCTGCAAAGTTGAAGCTTAGCTTTTCATTCAAACTTATTTCTTTTTCAGGCACAAGCTTTTCTTTTTGTTCAAGTCCTCTTAACAGAGGACCTGTAGCTAGAATATAGAAAGAATTTGCAGTGAAACACTCATGTGGTTGTAGAATATTGAGCTTGTTGCACATATAAGGCTTATTTTAATTTATTAAACTGAAATCCACATTTTGTTATAAGTTTTTGCTTGTACTGACTCATGTATCCGGTACCTTCAAGTTTTCATGATGTGTGTCTTTTTTCAATTTCAGTTTTTTTATTTTATGATTTTCTCCTCTTCGCTTGCATTATATCCATAAAACACAGCTGTTTACAAATTCTACATTAATTAAACTATTAGTTGCAATACAATATTGGCTACTAATGTCAGATTAATTCTTTAAGAAAAACTATTTTTTTGAGTCTGCAAATGATTTTAAATGTATATTTCCGCTGTATTTGTATCATATGGGTAGCATTCAATACATGATATGGAAAAGCCTAGTCATCTTGATTTAATGAATCTCATAGTTATTTATTTTTTAATATTAAACAAAGAAAGGGAACATATATCTCCTTTCATAAACATGTATATATATTTTTTTCCACAGCACGCTGTTCATTTGTAACACAAATAGATGCACCCGGTATTCTTTGATTGCAGCAATGTTTTGAAAAATTTGTTAAAATAAACAAAGATTGCTATTTTATTCATTTATTTTATTTTTTCCACATTCCATTAAAAAAAAGCATGCAAATACAAAATAATGTATATTATGTAATACAAAGGAATATACACAAAAAAGACAAACAAGTAATTGACAAAGGGGAAATGAGTAAGATGATAAACCATTATCAGAGGGTAAAAACAAAAGCAAAGTTGCTTGTCAAGATTAATCCCCAAGATTATCATATCACATTGTAAACATAGCAAAACAAAGAGAAGAGAATTGCATATTTAGCTTCTTTTTTTTAAAAAATAGTGTTATAAAGCTGTGGAGTAATACAGAGTTTCCAATGTCATTGATTGATCCATTCCAGAGGACTTAGCCTCGGTACCTCACACATTTTTGTCCAAGGCTAACTTGAAAAAGTATAGGACATCCATCCCTTGAAGAAGAAAAAAATCTTTTCCCCACATTCTAATTATTTATGATTGCTTGATTCATGACAGGCTCCCTCTTGAGTCGAAGAAGCGTAAGGTGGAGCGTAGCCTGAAGATCTTAGATGAAGCTGAGCTGGTTTCAGAGAAGGATAACTACCAAACCATGGTCAATGCCATTGCACAGGTAAGCTAAGCTAACTAAGTACTGGTTTAAAAGTCAGTAACAACCAGATATGATTTCTAATGGGTGGGGCTGAGAGTTACTTGATTGGATTTGAATACTCACAGTGTAGCAAGTTTAAACCCCCCCCCCCTCCCCCTTCAACAAAATAAGGAAAAAATAATACTGATGACATAAGTCAACTTATATTTCATAGTACCAATACCTAGTTTGAAGACCAGCTAAAGTTTTCCCATAGGAGCTTACATCAATACAGTTCTATGACCCATGTTTTTTTGTTGTTGCTTTGTGATCACTTTTTACACTAAACAAATGCTTAATATCAACCCTAGACAAAGCATTTTACCTAACTTCTGTAAGACTCATTTGTAAACCCTTACCTATATATTTAACAAAACACTGCCAGGAGCAAAAGTTTGGTTATTATCAGAAGTTACAAGTAGTAATGTCTGAATATCAATTTTCTCACTTACCCGTTACTTTAAGTTGCATCTCTTGTTTTTTTCTTTTCTGTGTAGGACATCCGTAACCAGAGGAGATATCGTCAGCGTCGTAAGCAGGACATCATGAAACTGAGATCAACGTACGCTGGACTGGAATCCAAGTCTACCTTCTATAATGAACAGAATGATTATTATGCACAGTACATCAAGACTTGTCTAGATAACCTTCAGGCTAAGTGAGTATCACTCTCACCCTCATTACTTTGATTTATATTGAACCCATATTTTACTCTTAATTCCACGTCCTTGCAGTTATCTTGGAAAGAATTTAACTAAAAAGAAAAATCTTCATATTTCATTTGAGCCTTCTTTGGTATTTGAATAGTGATAAATCAAATCAAATCTTGACATGAACGTTAAAAGGAATTAAAAACAATGATGATAGTTTCAGTTTAATAAGCTCCCCTTCCACTTGATACAGAGTGCTTTGAGATGCCATCCTGAGTCGGCATTCATTTTAAGAGAGATTCAACAATAGATTGATATAATGGTTAGTTATAAATATGTAAATCTCGTTCAGTTACATAAACTACTATGTATATTGTAAACCTCATGGATAATAATGTCTAGAAATCGAAATGATTTGCTCATTTTATAAAACTGCTTTTTAGTTTTAAACTCCAGCTTCAAAACTTATATCCTTATCTTTAAAAGCAATGCTTTTGTTCTTGTGAATTCCTCAGACGATCGTCAAAGGCCAAGGCGAAGGACGGCAAGGCAGCTCAGTTGAAATACAACGCAGCAAGGCTACACGAGAAGGGCGTCATCCTAGAGATTGAAGGACTAGAACAATCACAGTAAGTCCATCCCCTCGGATAGGATGTTAAATGAAGGTCCCATTTATATACATGCTGCGTTCAAGAACTGACCTCATTTTTTTTAGTGAAAGGATAGAAATTCAGCATTATGATCTACCTGGACATATTAATTAGTTTTATGGTAAAGGGCTGGTTCCACTTGACCATCAAAGTAAATGATTGCTTGCTTGCTAGGTGCCCTGTCTGTTTCAGACATTAGCGATCAAGGCTTTCCATCTACATCTATTTCTGGTTCTTTGTAATGTGACGTTACTTCTGTTACCAGTCGGCCCATGAACTTATCCATGTATTTGATCCGCTGTCTCCCTCTCCTTCTGTTTCCCTCAAATGTTCTTGTCAGTATCATATTTCCTGTACCTTCTCTTCTCATAATATGCCCAACAAACTGAAGTTATCTTCTTCTTTTTTTAACGATAGTAACTATAAATCATTCATTCCCAAATTGATCAAATTTCCTACACTGTCTGAATTTCACACTTCAGTTGTGGACCATGTGCAGTATGGACCTAACCCTAACCTACATGTAATTAAACCAGTTGCAACCTTTACTTAACCCATATTTGTGACAAAATAATGCCTGGAGTCGATGTTGCTGAAGCAATTGTCAAGTGTCTGATTTCATGCATCAACCTTCATTTATTTTTGTTATTAGGAAACTTTCTGGAAGTTAATGCATATGTTTGTTCTGTTCTCCTAGATTTAAGAATGTGATGTTTGAGATCTGCTCTACTGATGTACCAGGAGTCTTTGATGTGTCTGCTAAGTTCCTTGGAGTCAAGATGGACAGTGTACAACTTGTTTTCCAGGTCAGTGACAAAAAGAAAGTGTTACTTTGAAACACCCATAATTCATAGTTTCCCAAAACCTGATACACAATATTAAATAGAAGACTCTGATTGAACATTTAACTCTCAAAATGTTTCTGTTTGCAGTCTCCTTTGTAGTGTCGAAAAAAATCATTGTGAAAGAAGTCCTATGGGGTAATATTTTCAATTTTGATGGATTTTTTTTTTTATTGGGGGGGGGGGGGGAGAAGGTGATTTATCATTTAAAAAGGAACAATGAATTTTGATGTTGTAAGAAAAGGAAAGATTCAGTGAATTTTTTTTTTTAATCGTTCTAAAGGAATCATCATTTTAGCAAACAGATAAAATCCTTGCCCTATTCTCTCAGTGCTTGAACAAGGTATTTAAAGAAATATCTGCAATGCCAAAAATGATGATGGTGTAAAAACACTTGTAACATATTTTCCTATAGTGATATCTATAAATAAAAAGAAGTCCATTATCAATTCTTTGTCTGATGTACTTCACACACTGAATCTATGCTTTTTAAAATCATTTCACGAAACCTGTTTTAGTGAAGATCACTGAACATTGTCGCATTTTGCCTTCAAAGAAAATTTGAGAGAAATGGTCTTTCTTTTTGCAGGATCTTCTTCAGCTACAGTATGAGGGCGCCGCAGTGATGAACATGTTCGGCAGAGCCAAGATCAACGTCAATCTCCTCATCTTCCTCCTCAACAAGAAGTTCTACGGCAAGTAGGAAGTCAACGATGTCCCCGGGGGAAGATTATATTGCTTTTGTAAAGTTTGTAATATATTGTATAGTACATATGAGCTCTTATATTGAAATATAGATTGTATCATGAACTATGTTTGGTACAGCAAGTTGGGAGATGGGAATATTTTTGTGTGGATTATAGAGGAAAGTGCTTGGAAATGGTCATAATGAAGACAAAGTTATTTACTGTCTTAGAGAATAAATTGATCCGATTCTGTCTATTGTAATAAGTTTTTACAATTAATTATTCCTATTTTATAATATTTCAATGAAATTGCCATTTTTGTAATATCCTGATGTGCAGGATCTACAATAAATCTTTGAATTTTTTTCTTCCAATGATTTTTGTTTGTTTATATTGAAACAAATTCTTGATATAAGAGATTGTGGGAGATTCAAGGACTTCAATTTAATCTGATCATTGATGATATATCATGGTGGAATCACTTGATTTCAATGTCAAAATTCATTGACGAGGGTAATAAGAACAGGCATCAAATCAAAATGATATGTTATGGTATCCTTGAATAGAAAGAAAAATGGAATGGGACCATATTGATTTATTTATGTACTTTATCCTTTTTCAAGGGATCTTAATTTCTCATTGTGATAAAATGGAGTGATTTTATGGTTTCAGTTTGAAGAAGCGCTCTGAGGCTGGTAATTTGAAACTGGATTTCTTTTATGAAACATTTTAAAATTGAAATGAAAAGTGAGATTTTGCTTTATGTCCTAGATTAGTTTTCTATCTTTTAGGCAACATATTTACATGCTAAATACATATGTGTCTCTAATATGCGACCTATATGTGATTTTTCTGAAAAGTAATAATCAAAACATTTTTGTGCCTGATTCTGTCTTATGATAAATTATAATATTGAATGTGTGAACACATTTCTACTTTTATTCTTCTATCGATTCATCAACTCATTCCGCTTTCTTTCAAAGTGACCAAAAGCATAATTTTGTTGAAAAAGAAGCAAATAGTGATTATTTGATTTAATGGTGTTTGTAAAAACAGTTTTGTTTTGTAAGAAAGCCTTGCAATCTCAATTAAATTATAAGAATTTTCTACTGAAACAGGAGATCTTCCAAAGTATTTTTTTCTTCAAACTAGAACATGGACCAGCTGATGAATCAATATGCATTGCTTTTGTGTGAAATAAAACCTTGTTGATTTGAATGACTTTTTCATTGTCATGACAACCTTGGGCTTTCACATGTTTTTGTAGAGACTAATCTTCCAAACACCCAGACAAGCCTTCCACATTTTCTTTTCATACGGAAAGAAAGATGTCAACCTTTAGAAAAGGCAACTGCATGAAATGTTTCACTGCAACAATTACACTCTGGTATGAAATTATGTTCGAATGATTTTTTGGTTGATAGTCATTTAAAATATTTGCAATGAAAAAGAGGCAACTTGTAGGTTGCAAGATTTTTTAATTTGTATTTATCGTATCTTCTGCTGAGAGCCATAAGGGTGCGGATCACATTCTTAGGGGTGTGAATTAACGCTTTTCTGGTTCACAGCAGACGATACATTGTTATCAAGCATCTTTTAATTCATCTTTGAATGACAGACAATACATGTCTGATTGTACTGCTAATGCATGGCATGAAACAGCACAATGATATTATGGTAATAATCTCAATTCCTGAACACTTGATAAAAAGAAGATACAACTGTATGGATATTGTGTAGTTGTTTTAAGGGCATGCATGATAAAAGATGCAACTATTGTTATTATGATGTGAATTTCATTGAGTAATGAATTCCGTAATAATGTGTTCCTTCCTCATGGAAAAGGAGATTCATGAATTTAATCTCAAACATATTCTTGAATAATGACCTTCTATGCAAAAAGATCAAATTTTCTTTCATTTCTTTTGTCAAGAAAATTGCCTTTGATGTTTTGATAGCTCTTAAAAGAAGTGTATCAGCTGTTGATAACATGCTAACCTCGTAGAGAGCCTTTGAAACGTACATTTACATTTTTTTTATGAAGGACTATTATTAGCAATAGAATTTATTACGTATTGAATTGAGTAGAACATGAAACTTGAATTTGAATTATTCAGAAATGTGATCTGGTTTGGGATATATTTTTTTTAATTGAAAGTTGGTGCTGGGTTTAGTTTTGTTTAGTGATGGTTGATGGTAAGTAGTTGAACGGAATAGCAATCATGTATTTTGTATATTTATATATATTTTGCTTGATAAGTATAACTTTACTGGCAATGTATAGCATAGTGTATGTAGATGCTCGACTCAATTTAAATCGAGTGCAGTTAGAGTTGATTATTTAACATCTTGAATGATAAAAAATCATTTGAGCTTTATTTCAATTTTAATTTTTCATTTTGCCTTGATTGTTAAGAAGAAGAAAAAAAAGGAAATTTTTCAAATGAATTATGGTGATGCCTCTCTGTATATTATCTCACATTTAGCTGATACGAGAGAGGTATCAATTTATAAATATTTAGTTTTAGATTATTTTTTATTGTAAATGTCATGGCGGCTACCAAGCAGTATATTTCTATTAGGTCATGAATTGATGTAAAAGCTAACTTCATCATTGAAAATTGAACTTGTTGTCGGTAGAGCAACGAAGTGAAATGGAGATTGGGCATTCCAAATAGATGAATACAAAATTTGAGAAGACAATAATTTACATTTTTTAAAAGATAATGTAAGAAATTCTTTCATTTCTGTTTTGTTTCTTTGCAACAACGCATATATCATGTCAGTGTATATTTAAAACTTTTATATCTTATCTACTTTTTTCCTGCATAGCTTTTTACTTGATGTGTATTGGCAGAGATTCATATGGTATGCATGCTACAATGCATTTTATTATTCTTTAGGAATTCATTGTCAATTAGGTTTGTAAAAAATTTGGTTGGTGTTCTCAAAAAGTTGTATATTTAAATGTAAATTGTATCTCTGAACCTTTTATTTCTACTTATCATTTTTTCCTTCTTTTTCTTTATATGACCAACACCTATTATGGACCACATAATTACCAAATTGCCTTTCCTGAATTTTTTTATAGTTTCAATTTTGTACGTAATCTTCTTCATACTGTTCTGTCTATCTATAAATATTACTTTGTTTGTAGCAAATATCCTCCTAACTGCCTTGAATCCCAGCCTAAATCAGAGCTAGAATTTTGGGGTGATGGACTGTATCGACTTTAAAGAAAGTTTCTGAAGCTAATGACTCGTGATACAGTGTTTAGAATATATAGCTTGTACATTGAAGGCCTTGTATCTGTATGATTGTATTTCAGTTTAGTGCAAGTTTTTATTTGATCATACTCTCTCTCTATCTCTCTGCTGTATGGAGGCCATTTTTCATAATGTCTCTATTGCCCCAGGCTGCCTGTACCATTTCAAGTGAAATAAATATAAAAATGATAAGGGATATATATATTGTTTTTTAGTTTGTTTGCTTGGTGTGTGTATGTGTTTATGCAGTGAAAGTGAGATGATACAGTGTGAATATTGTGAGACAATGTAGAATGCTGAGAAAAAAACACTCTCTATCTCTCTCCCTTCCCTCTCTCTCTCCCTCTCTCTCTATCTCTTATTCCTCTCTCTCTCTCTCTACCACACCCCTCCCACTCTCTCTCTCTCTCTCTCTCTACCCCCTCTCTCTCTCCCTTTCTCTTTCTCTCTCTCCTTCCTCTCTCTCTCTGTATACCCCCTCTCTCATTCTAACACTCTTCCCATATTTTCTCCTCCACCATTCTAATGTGCTTGTTGCAGCTTTGTCTATTTTGTGCCCCTATCTCTTTAGTATTGGATAAGCCTAACAAAATCTGACCAACAAGCTTTACAAAAATTAACAACAGTACAGTGGACGTCAAAAGTAGCTACGTTATATTTCTTTTTTTTTCATATGACACATGGTTAGATAACATTTCAGAATTCTACAGATAATCCTTAGTAATATTATATTGATATGGATTTCTTAACTATAATTTCAAGAAAAACATTCCTTTTACAACTTTACATCAGGGGACCCCACTGGAAATAAGCTCTTGAGCTTTCGTGGGCTATCCTGTTCAAGCTGACTTAATTTTGATCTGTTATTATTGTATGTTGTTGTATGCTGGAAGCTTGTCGAATAAAAATCAATCAATCATTCAAGAAATCTGCGAAAAAGTTATCCATATTGGAAGTTTTATAGGTTACATACGACCAATGCGTCTTAAAAAACGGACGTAATGAAAATGAAATCAGGTGGACGTAATTTGATCTCCGAATTTTGTTGCTTCTTATATCCGTACGTTGACTCATTATTGCGTATCATTTAGATAACTGAATAGTAATCTGAGATGCTTATGCTTCAAGCCAGACCTACACTACCACCACTCATTGGGTGTGTTTGGTGGAGGTTGGCCAGTCTCAAAGGAAGACGGAGTAACCGAGTTGGGCGGAGGAACAGGCAAATCCATGAAGTCCCATCTATCTTCATGGGATAACGAGTTCGTTCTCCCAATCGGAACCGTGTCAAACGCATTCTGTAACGGACTCCATCGATCACCTTGGCGGTCTTCGACGTCCATGTTCAGTGGCCACGTGTTGGAATACGATCCCGTGGTCGACCTGGCAGATGAAGTCGGGAGGACATCGGATTTCCATGACGGCGCTCTCTCGGTTGCTTGATAATAACTCGTGTTTTCTATCCTTGGTTTATCGGTTTCATACCCGAGCATTAACGGTTGAAGATGTGTTCGTCTGCGAGCATAGTGATCCGTCTGAACATGTCCATTGATGTTGTCTTGCTGAGGATAAGTTCGGTGCATCTTCTCAGAGTGTATGGTCTTGAACTTGGAGTAGATCTGAGTCGGGCAGGAGCCGCTCTGCAATTGGGAGGATGCCTTCACTTGGCGCGTATACGGCACTTTCCCAGACTTCGTATGGTGATTTTGATCAAAACGCGGGTCAAATCGCACTTTCGAAGAGGGAAACTGTTGTGTTGTTTTCGTAGATGGTGGAGGGTTTCTCTGTGGAGGGGCTTTTCTCTCATGACCCCAATAAAACACCTGCTTCACACGCTCTCCACCACCACCCTTCTCGCCATGTCTCCTTTGTTGCGTGCTTTGCTCCATTGGCTTCAGGTATGTTTGTCCTCTCGGTCTATTCCTTGCCCATGTCGTGTTTGTTGTGTACATAGTCCTATCCAAAGAATCATAGCGACTTTCCATGGATTCCTCAAGGTTTATCTTGGTCGTGAGCGACCCAGTCAGTCTCTCAACCTTTTCCTCCGGTGTTTGGAAAGCTACGGAAGGGAATTCTCTTCGCAAAACATTCGCCTTCATGATGGCATTCCCGTGCTGCCCAGTAGCAATGACCGCCGCGAATGCAATGGTGACAGAAGATTGTTTAATCAAATATTAACTCTTGGCAATTAATATTTAATTAATAGTTGACCTTTTGTATTATCTTAAAGTCAGAATTCCATTGTTGTGGCGCAAGACGGTGAGATGGTGTTGATATAAGCTCCCCCCGACTCTCTTTCTCCCTGAATGATAATTTCCCATAGGTGATATGGCTGAAACGACAAAAGAAACATAGTACACCGTGTGAATATTTCATTTAACAAGTTATCGAAAACAAGGGAATTAAATAAATGAATCGATCATTGTAATCAATGTTATCTGTCAATACACAGTGACTGGGTGAATTGCCCTTTTAACAAAAGTTAATCTCCATGGGAGATCTACTTTTTGATGAATGAAATATACTAAAGTCGTTATCAGAAATCATGTTTGTTTGTTTTGTTGATATATTGTCAGTGTAGTCCAACAAAGAATCAACACCTTTTTTCAACGTGTTAATGGATTTAAAAAAAAAACTATACTGTGACAGAACCTCTAATGTCGATTTTCAGGTTTGATTTGATATGATTAGATTTTTCTGGAAAGAAAAAAAACGAAAGCAAAAATAATTACAAGCGTTTTATAAAACCCACTGACAGGTCTGTTTTACAGATATGAAAAGTGATAGTACAAGTTACAACTGAGTTCAGTATTATAAACATAATATATTGCACAAAATGATATAAATCAAAGGCTGTAAAATGTTTAAAAGATAACTAGTGGTGAGGATTGCAGATAAAATCATCGAGGTCTTCCCAAGTATAAGATTGCACGATCGAGATTAGTATGAATGAAAATAGCCCTGTATAATTGTTGAGATGTTAATTGAGATTTTATGATAAATCAGTATCATTAGTCATCATTCCTATACGAGAAACCGATTGTAGTGATAGCCTATATGGCCACCCTATTATAGTATGTTCTGTTCTATAATAGTCGTGTCTATTGCGTAATAAAACTAACAGCTCTGAGCATTGGTAAACTAACATTCTGGCTGAGCAAATAGTGTCATAAGGCAAGAGCAAATAGTGTCTACGGCAACACTGTTTTGTGTTGTCTGACCTTTGTTAAGCCGATTTCACTATTTTCCAGCTATTTATTCCTGTGTCACTGTTGTCCATTTTAGATATTGAAATACAAATTCACACCAAATATTATTTTTATTTATGACAAAGTTGAGAGATTTGTGCTATCAAAAAATCAAAGCCTTCATATTTGTCAATATAATGAAATAAAGCAGTGCAAATAGAAAAGGTCGATTTTATCAGCATGCAGACAGGTAGAATAAATTAACCCAAAGAACATGCAAAATACAACAATAACAACAACAACAGTAAACAAACAAACATACATACAAACAAAACTAAAAACTATAGAATAGGCAAAAACCAAAGCGAAAGGTTCGTCTACGCCGATTATAATAGGTGCACAAAGGTGACGATATACACATTTTATTAGAATTCTCCCGCAAAACCATTAAAAATATGATATTAAAGGATATAATTATTCCGACAAGTAAAGATATTAATCAATATTGTGATTATGTATGTAGTATAACGTTTATTGAAGGGTAAATATGAAATCTTGTTGGTCTGTCAGTATATTATGCCTATTAATAAAATGTCAAAAAGTTTTACTTTCATGAAAATAATCATCAAGCTATACAAATTATTATGACGTGTTATAGATATCATTCTACTTTATATTTTATTGACATTGATAGAGTTTATAGGAAACACCCTTAAATTAAAATCAATGACAATGATATATAAGTCATATAACTACAACTTTATCTAAATACTTTTGATTAATTTCTTTAAAACAATCCTAACGTGGTTTCGTTTTAAGTCTAGTTCCTTGCTCATCTACAAATAGCCTAAGATAAGTCAAAGTTCGTCAAAAATATTTACGTAAAATATATGAACATTAAATATCTACGGCTATCTATACTATAGTAACTAGAGTTCAATTTAATTTGTGATTTTCAGTAAAGGAACTTGGTACAAACGTAATAGACTAAAGTATGAGCAATCATGATTTCATTTAAAGAAGCCAATGCTTATAAATAATTACCTGTTATAGATTGTGATATCCGCTAAAACTTCATCTCTTTTCCCTCTTTGGATGAAAAAAAAATGCATTGTATTTACCATGAATCCGCAGCAATATTTTGTATTGTTCACTTATCAAAGGCAGTTGATTTTATCGCGTTAAGTTATTGAGTAGAAATTCAACGTTTGTAATATAAGTGCATTCTAATCTTGGCTAATAAGCTCTAGTTTACGAGACGTGGAGACGTAAAGCCGGACGTATAAGGCTTCTATGCAAACGAAAACTGCCCAGAAAGAACTCAGATGTTTGCTGCGATGAAGTTGTATTTGCTTTGTGGGCTAACGCACCCTTTATCATGTCCGACCATGAGAGTAAAACAAATATGGACAAAAGTAAAAGTCGCTTAAGAAGAAGAAGAAGAAGAAGAAGAGGAAGAAGAAGAAGAAGAAGAAGAAGAAGAAGAAGAAGAAGAAGAAGAAGAAGAAGAAGAAGAAGAAGAAGAAGAAGAAGAAGAAAAGAAAAAAAGAAGAAGAAGAAGAAGAAGAAGAAGAAAAAGAAAGAAGAAGAAGAAGAAGAAGAAGAAGAAGAAGAATTAAGAAAAAGAAGAAGAAGAAGAAGAAGAAGAAAAAGAAGAAGAAAAAGAAGGAAAGCATGACAGAAAGAAAAACAGCTTTGTTGGCCTACAGAAGAAATGTTCTAGAAAGTGTGTATTTTTAGAGTTGAAACTGAATGAAGCAGCTGCCCCGTCCAAATAATTGTAATTTTAGTATTGTAGTATTGTGAACCTTTGTCTCGATATATTTGGTCGATTGAGTGACAGTGAAATAAAGATAATGACGGTGCATGGCGGATCCAGGGGGCCTGGGGGCCTGGGGGCCCGCCCCCCCCCCCCCCCCCCCCCCCCCCCCCCCCCCCTCGGGAAAAAAAAAATTTTCCTTTTTTTGGAGATGCCCCCCGGGGGAGGGGTGCGATTATTCAAATCTAC